CCTAAGGTAAGGATTCTTGCTTTGGTTGTGAAGTCTTGTGAGTTTGTATATATTGGTGTGGAGTTTTGTTCATTTGTTGGAGAGAGTAGGAGAAAGTCAAGTAACCAAGTGAAAGGAAGAGTTAATGAAGTCTCTCCATAACAAGGTAAGTATAACCCCAAACAAGTTGAGGTTTGGGAATTTCTGATTTGGGTTTTGATAGCACTATGTGTGTATGTGTATATACGTGTTATATGCCATGTATTGAGGCTTAATAGAGATTTCTATGGCTGGGATGTTTATGCCTTTCAAATATAAGAAGTGGAGTTTGTGGGTTAGAAAGTAGGTTGAGATTGATTAAGGATATTGAGAAATCATTTTGGAGAGTGCTTTCTTGGGCAGGTTATGTGGTATGTGAGGGGGTTCTTCCCATTTTGGATGGTTAGAAAAGATTTAGAATCATGCTATAGTGGAGTTTTATAATGCACTTGAGTTGTTTGATGAAATGCCTAATAGAGGTTTGGTATAGGTAGTGAACCTTAATTTTGCAACATTGCATGTAGCATTTCATAAGTGCATTAGGGAGGAACATCCATAGGCACTAATTGTGCATTGAAAAGTGACCTAAGGAAGAGTAGGAAACTTTGTGTATGCAATTACTCTAGATAGAGAACTTGGTGGAGCAACTACCTAGGTAGAACGAATGAAAAAATGCTAGAATAGAGTGAATGAGACGAGTAGTAGAAATGGGTTGATGCTTTGTGATCATCACCCGACAGTTATGAGAATCGGGTTGATGCTTTGTGATCACCACCTGAATAGCCATTAGAGATGGGTTGATGCTTTGTGACCGTCACCCGATAAGTATTAGAAACGGGTGGATGCTTTGTGACCACCACCCGGTTAGTTTTTAGAGAGGTGGGTTGATGCTTTGTGATCATCATCCGACATTTATTAGAAGTGGGTTGATGCTTTGTGATCATCACCTGACAGTGCTTAGAGACAGGTTAATGCTTGGTGATCGTTACCTGGAAGTTATGAAGAACGGGTAGGTGCTAGGTGGTCTCCACCCGATAGTTACGAAAAACCGAGTAGGTGCTTCGTGATCCCCACTCGGTAGTAACTAAGAACGGGTTGGTACTGTGTGAATTCCACCCGATAGTCATCGAGAGTGAGATGGTGCTGTGTGAACGCCATCCGGCCGTACCTCCGGTAACATGAGGCCATGACATTTAGTAGAAACAGAAATAGAAACAGAAATAGTATAAGAAAAGAATTAAGAGTAATACATACAGGGACCGACAGATAGAGGGTTTTTACTTACTGAGCATTATTTTGTGCTCACCCTGTTATTTTTCCTTTGTGGATGCAGGATCTAGGTGATGATGCAGTCGGAGGGACGTCGGCAAGCGAAGAGCAATAGCTACACTGTTTCTCCTGTTTTGTCTTTTAAAATGACTTTTGTAAACAATACTCTTTGTGTATAAAAGACATATGACTTTTAATGAAAAGAAAGTTTTTGGGCCCAATTTTCTATTGTTATTATGCATGCATTGTATTAACTTTCAGTAGTTGTTACAATTCGCAAGTGTATGAAATTGCGCAAGTAATAAAGCTCGAATAAACGAGTGTCGAATCCCAAGAGAACTACCTACCAAGTAGCAAACTAGTCTATTTTGTTACTATTTGATGAAACAAAATTTTAAGAATGAATTTAATGAAAAAGATAACAAACTAAAAACTAAACAAAAGCAAAATTTTATGAATACTTGGTAAATAGATCAATATGACTAAACTTAGGGCACAGATTTCACACCAATTTAATCCTATGCATTGACAATTATTGCTAACCTAATTAAGCTTATTCTAAAAGCCAAACTCCCTGATATTTCACTAGCTTTCTCTCAAACAGTTAGCGAATTAACCCTTAAGCAACAACCCAAAATATCTTTAAGTTGGATTTAGGAGCTAAGAGATCATTACGTTCTATAGAATTTACTAGAGCCTCATAAATCACGGTAACCTATCTCTAGCGTTCGCTCAATCTATGGTTTTATTACCTTAAACAAATCAGGTTTCATCTCTCGATCTCAACCCAACCCATGATATCATTCAACCCTCAGATCCTTAAGAATTAAACGCATTACACACAATAATAAAACTTAGAATCAATGCTCAATAAGAATTAACAACAATAAAGTCAACACATATTCATAAATTGGGCTACATCTTTAGCCCTAGAAAAGAGATTTAGTTCATAATTGTAGTAATAAAAAAAAAAAACCATTGTATTCAATAATATGAGTTCAAGAAAGAAAAATCTAAAAACTTCTCTAATTGGTGAATGAGAACTGCAAGAATTCCAATCTCCAAAATAGTAGCCGTCATTTCTCCTTCTCTATACTCCTAAAAACTACTTAAAGACCCTTATTTATAGTGCTAGGGTTTGGAGGTTACTTAGGAAAGAATTAAATGTCTTAACACATTCAGATTAGGACTAGGAGAATGTAATAACCCAAACATGCCCGTGACCCATCGCTGCAGCGATCAGAAACAGTCGCTGCGGTGATCGTTCTTTCTATCCCACGAGTCCATGATCTTTAGAATTTGGTAAAGTCATCAATACAAACTTTGTAGCTCTCTGAATAATCTTTCCAACGCCATAAGAATCTTTGAATTCTGATTTCTACAGCTTAAGTTATGATAGAAACATCGACGTATGCTTGTCTTGAAGGATTTCCAGTTTTACGTTGTATTTTTGACGCGTCACAACTTTCTCATTTCAACTCCGATTCTTGCACCGTTTGTTCCTACTTGTCACGAATTCCATTGACATCATTCTTTTTCTTTCAAATATCGGTTTGAACCTAAAAATACTCACAATACACCCGTGATCCCGTAAAAGATATTTATGAAATAATTAATTCAAATTCCACAAATTAAGCACATTTTTCCACAAATAATCCAATTAAATCACTAACAAAATATATACTTTCAAGCTCTTATCATGTGTAACACATCATGTTGACCATATTTGAGATATGCAGCATAATTGGGCAATAAACAATAGATCTTCTATAACATTTCTCTTTAACAAGTTCAATTCAATTCTAAGAATTAATTGTATATTTCATATTGAACATCATTTGCTCCCTTTGTGCACAGTGTAATGAAGACCAAATTTACTTCAAAGATAGTCCCAGCTGCTGCTTTTCCATTCTCTCAATGCTTTAAAATCTGCTTTTCATCATATTGATGAAAGCAAAGAATCAAAATCTCCAAGTAATGATGTTGATGGCCATGGCACTCACACTGACACTACCAGCACTGCAGTTGAATTCTTAATTCATTCAAACCAAACCCATCCTTTAATATTTAAGAATGAACTTGCCCTCATCTTGTTCTTCAATTTCTCACTTCGATAAAACAAACCTTATTCATCCTTCACTTTGATTGAAAGAAGGATTTTTGGTGGTTGTGATGGAATTATCTGTCCAGACCTAAGGTTGTTGTGAAGGAATCAAAAGAAATTCTTTAAAGCATAATATTGTAGAGTAGAATATCATGATGTTTGTACTGAGAATGTGAAGAGAAAAGTACTCTTAGTCTTATTACCTGATATATCAAAAGAACTAGTAGTACTCCATCAAGTGTGTAATATTATTACCTAAAATTCAGTCCATTTGGATTAAATCTGGAATTAGCTGAGGCCTAATTAGCAATCAAAATTCTGTCCAATAAATCAAGTTGCTTCATGCTTGTACTGGTTCATAGAAATAGAATAAATTAAACAAAATTTCTGGTTTCTTGCAAAATAATCATTTTATTGAGATTTCCTATATTAACGCCACTTAACTATTATCACCATGATATTGCTTTGATTAAGACTTAATATATAAGTAGGGTGAAGTCATTAAATCATCTGGGCGCCACTTAACTATTAGCACGATGACATTGTTTTGATTAAGATTTAATATATAAGAAGGGTGAAGTCATTAAATCATCTGGATACTCACCCAAAATTATGAATTCTATCACATATATACGCGTTGTGCAGTAAGTTAATGTATCTAAAGAGACTTGAGTATTGACGAATTCCCATCTAAGTACATTTGACACCATAAAATTAAATATTTGACAAAACAACTCTACTTAAATCAATTACTTCATGATCAATTCAAAAGAAAATTAGCAAGTAGCACAAGACTCACTTATATGGAGAGCAAGTAGGCATGGAAATTAATGACTATGATGTTATGACCATAAGTTTTAAAGACTATCTATGTCACATATTGTTTTCATTCTTGTTTAGTAGACTATTCTACCATTAATATAGCACCAAGAGTTGGTCCTTTCTTTGAATATTCCAATAAACATTAAAGAACATTCTATGATCTCACAAACGCCGCCAACCAATGATGTTTTATAGTCACATTCTCGTTAGGTAACTGTTGTTATTGCCATTATTTAATTGTGAATGAAACATGTCAAGTGACGGATAACCACTTTGGCTGTTAATTAACTGCAATGTTAGCAGATGAGAACATTTATGGTTAGTTGGTAACCATCACTGTTAATAGAATTATAACGATTTTAATTCATTAATTATTAAAATTCCCATAATTACAAAGATTTGAGTGCTTTTGAATAGAGAAATGCTGATGAATGATAAAGAAATGGTGTTATGTTTTGAAGATGATCTCACAAACGCCGCCAACCAATGATGTTTTAATCTGGCTATCTTATTAAACTGTATTTCCTAGCATCCAAAACTGTGTCGGTGAATCAATATGGAAATTTTATTGTTTTTATAAACTCTTAACAGATTTTATTTTTATTTTTTTTGTTTAAAGCAGTCATGCACTCTCTTTTACAAAAGAGGATAGGAGAGTAAATTGATCAGTGAGCAGTTTATGAAAAGGATGTTTAACAAACTATTTAATACCTGGAATAACTTGCAGCTGCCAATGTACTGTTCTTAATGCAAAATGAACACACAGTGGATTACTAGAGTCCATCCTTTTACTTAACTATTTTTCCCTGTTTCTGTGAAACGTAGAGAGCAAATACCACTCACCTTGAACCTCAGGTCTAAATTGCAGCTGCCAAGTGCCAAGGTCTTGTTCTACTTGCAAAATCAACGCACTGTTCACGAGAGTCCTTCCTTCTACTTCAGCTTTTTGTTCCGTTTTTCAGTAAAAAGTATAGAGCAAATACTACTAAATTTCAACCTTAATTTGTTTTCTTGCAGAAAGAAAAAGAGCTCAGTTTTTAAAAGCAATGGATTGCATGCTGTACAAGGCTGCAAGAGAAGGAGACGTGGAGTTCTTGAAACAGTTTATCCAAAGTGATAATCACAACCATCTTCTCTTGCATACAAATCAGGAGAACAATATTCTTCACATAGCTGCAAAATTGGGTCATGAACCATTTATTCATGAGGCTCTCCAAACATCTCCCTTCCTTGCAAGTCATATAAACTCAAAGGGTGACACTCCCTTACATGTCGCGGCGAGAGCTGGCCATATTGCTGTGGTAAAACTTCTCCTCAAAGACAAAATAAGAAGAGATGTGTTTAGAGTTGACTCAACTGAAACTCCGGGTACAACTGTTTTGAGAGAAATGGAAGAGGGACAGAGTGGAGTTCCAAAGCTGTGGAGGATGAAAAATAAGGTTCAAAGCTTGGCTTTGCATGAGGCTTTGAGGAATGGACACGAGGACGTTGCACTTTGTTTGTGGGAACTAGACCGAGAAATGGCTGGAGTTGTAACTAGTTTAGGTGAGAGCCCTCTATATTTAGCTTCTGAATCAAGGTGTGAAGCAGTAGTGCCGAGGATTTTAATGTTCTTAAGACTAAATTCAGAGAGAGTCGATCTCTTGCGTGATGCTGTTAGAGGCCCAGATGGGCAGAATCCTCTGCATGCCGCAGTCCTTGCAGGAAGCACTGGTATGAATATCATACTCTTTTTTCTTTAAAAATATCTGTCACACGTTTATAATCTAAAGTTATTAGTTGCAATGTATGACAAGTCACAACATCTTCTATCAATAGAATAAATAAATAAAATCCAAGTTAAATGAACCCATACAGTAAAAATAGGTGAAAAGACAAAAAATAAAAGAATTGTATGTATTCCATTCATCTAAAATAAACAATATTTGGTCAAACAAATGAGTTATTCCAATTTGTGGTGTGTGAAGGATATATATATAGCCTTAAAAAACCCTGAAGATAAGATCAGTTTGAACTGGATAATCCAAACGACTTAAATATGGGGACAGGTTGATTGATTAAGGGAAGGGAGATCTGACTTATATACGATAGTTTGAGCTATCTTAGAAGCCTTTTTAAACTATCAGGAAATTTGCATTGATATTATATATGTTCTCTCTTTATTGTCTTGCAATAGAATGCATTGGTTATCTACTAGAAGATGAAGATATTTTGAAACTCATTAATCAACCTGACGTTAGTGGAAAGACTGCCCTTCACTTTGCAACAGAAGCCAGAGAGATAAATATTACACGTGAGTTGCTTAAGAGAAGTACCTCATCTGCATATCTGCGAGACAGAAATGGCCGGACGCCATTACTGGAAGCTGCCAGCTCAGGAAACTTTGATGTCTTTCAGGAGATACTCCAACACTGTCCAGACACTATCGAGCTCTGTGACCCGACTGGCCAGAACGCACTTCATCTTGCTGTGCTCAACAACACGATGCAAAATGTTAGGGAATTCTTGCATTTGCTAGAGATTAAGGAGCTTGTGAATGAACCTGACGAGGAAGGCAACACACCCTTGCATTTAGCTGTCAAGAACGAGAACTACAAGTTGGTGAGAAAACTGATGGAAACTAAGTGTGCGGACTTGAGAACCAAGAACAATAGAGGCCTCACAGCTCTAGACATCTGCGAGTCCGACTGGAATCTTTCTTATAGACAGGTTTCATGTTAAATTTGAATTTGACTTTTTATTGTCTCTCACTTTCTTTATTGCTTTATTTCTTATAAAACTATTTGGGAGCAACCTGATATTGTCATTCTATTCAATGTACCACGTTGATGATAGAGTTCAATTTTCTATTTCACCTTCATAGATGGGCGATGGCTGAAATTTTTCCCTTCTTGATATTATTGCAGAATTCTCTCCATACATTCCTGAGAGGGCAAAATGCACCCCGAGGTAGACAGCCCTATAATTATTGGAAGATCAATCAAAAATCAAAGAACGCATTAAACCACCCTAACGCAGACTTAAAAAATTTAGCGAACACAATGTCAGTGGTTGCTGCACTTCTTGCTACGTTAACTTTCGCTGCTGCTTTTACATTACCAGGGGGCTACCATGCTGATGATAAAGAAATACAGAAATATTCAACAAATGATAAAAATAAAACCCTAGTAGGTTCTTCAATCCTCATAAAGAAACTATCACTTAAGGTATTTGTGTTGGCTGATTCAGTTGCAATGTGCTGCTCCATGACAGTGGTGTTTCTCCTAATTCTAGCAATGGTTGGTGACACTGCCTTTTTGCGGTCAGCAATTATATACAGCAGGAACTTGCTGAATATCGCCCTTTTGGGAACGTTGGTCGCCTTTATAACTGGATTGTACACTGTAATATCACCTCAGAGTAGATGGTTAGCCATCATTGTCATTATCATGGGCTCCAGTGTTCCATTTCTCATCAAATTTTTGCGCCGCAAGTCTTCCACTTCATCCCCTCTTGTTATAAAATATCTCAAGGGAACAATGAAGAAACCCGTGATCTCCTACAGCCCTGGAAGAAGGCGTTCTAATCTTAATATTAGTTATGGATTCAGTCAAACCAAGTCACCTCGCTGGTACTAATTAATCTATTTGGCAAGACCATTCTGTTTTCTTCTTTTAATATCATGTGTATATTGTAATCCTAATACCCTTCTCTAAAAGTTCTTTTAGGACCTTGTTTTCATAAGTGTTATATATTTGTAAAATATAATTTAGATTATAACAGGATTGCTATTATGTAATTTTTTTTATTTATTTAATTTGTTAATCATAAAATAATGATTGAAGTTTCTATGTATAGCATCATTATAACTTTTTAAGGAATATAGATGTTGATAAAATAAATTAAATATAGAGAAGACCAGCTCAAATAAATCAATCCATTAGATCTTACAGAGAACGTGTGAATCTTACAAACTTTCTCTCACAACTTTAATATGATAGTTCACAATTAATCAACTCGTAATATATCTTATCTGTCCAACAATGAATCTTGTTTATCTAATTATGAACTAACTAATTATGAACTGTTATATCATAGCTATGGAAAAAAGTTTATAAGATTGGATTATCATCCCATGAAAATATAGGTTGCCCAGGTTGGTTTCCCCTAATTAATATTATATTTCCATCAAATCTCAAAGGGTGACAATCCACTCCACGCGTTGGTGTGGGGGAACCCACATCTGGTTTTATTCATTATTACAAAAGTACGCAAGTCGTTGTATCATGGATGACGTTCAAGAAACAAGTTTAGATTTTAAGTATAATCACATAAACTTAGATCATAAAGTTGTTGAAAAATTTGAATAATTTTTAGAAACAAATAATATATTTATGTAAGGTGGTAACAATCAACCCTAATAAAATTCTCAATAAATAAGGAAATAAAATCTAAATTAATTATTTTTTTTTTTAAAAGAGATCCTAAATAAAAATAAGAAAAAGTGCACAGAAAATTTAAACAATCTCAAATGGATTTTGGGCCAAAAAACGATCCTCAACTGAGGTAATCGGTTGCTACATCGTCGAACTCGAAACAAACTTTCTGTTGATATAATATAAGTCTCGTAAATCTTTTTAAATAAAAAGTTATGACTATTTTAAATCGGTTTATCTGCGTTTAGGTTTCTGACACCCAACCTTCTTCAAGAATTCATCCATGAGATGTTTTAAGAAAACTTCTCATTGTTTCCCCTAGTCCTCTACTTGCTCTTTTCGAGAAATTTGTTAGCTCAGTTAGGTCGAACAGTTACTCATCCTCCATCGGTTTTCTTTAATGTTGAAGGGGACCAAAACTGACACATGGTGGTAGTCCCAACTGGCACTCATCAATTCGTTTTCCACACCCAACTTTCATAACACCGGAAAAAAAAATCTAAATGAATAAAAAGAAAACAATTAACTCATCCTCTCTGTCAATATCATTTTACCATATTGGTATTAAAGGATTTGAGCTACAATGGAAGATCAAATGCTCTTACAGCGCTTGCTCCTCATTCTTTTTACGAAAGTGACGATCTTCCCTTTACTGCTTAATTCCGAATGTGGTAATCAGCAAGAAAAGATTCCCTAGCATCCAACTTGGTTAAAATTGTGTCGGTGAATCAATATGGAAATTTTATTGTTTTTATAAACTCTTAACAGATTTTATTTTTATTTTTTGTTTAAAGCAGTCATGCACTCTCTTTTACAAAAGAGGATAGGAGAGCAAATTGATCAGTGAGCAGTTTATGAAAAGGATGTTTAACAAACTATTTAATACATGGAATAACTTGCAGCTGCCAATGTGCTGTTCTTAATGCAAAATGAACACACAGTAGATTACTAGAGTCCATCCTTTTACTTTTCCTGTGAAACGTAGAGAGCAAATACCACTCACCTTGAACCTCAGTTTTCTTTCAGAAAGAGAAACGGAAATCTGAAAAGCTATGGATTGCATGCTGTACAAGGCTGCAAGAGAAGGAAACGTGGAGTTGTTGAAACAATTTATCCAAAGTGATAATCNGATATGTGAAATTAAGCAATCATGGACACTTAAAACAACATATAATCAAGTCTTTCTTCAGTTGAAGCATAAGATAGGAGCCCTAATATGCATGACAAAGACTGTTGCTATACAGCTTTTACCCATTGATAGCAACGCATAACTGAGCAGTTAAATAGTCCCAGATCAGTCCACAAATCATGGTAAAAAATATCAAGTGTATTACTGTGCTTAATCAAATTCTTTTCAGTCATAATGAAATATTACTAAACTATCATAAAAATGACACTTTGGCCTATACATGTGCTGGTCCCCCCCAATAAGGATAAAGGGGTGTTCTCAATAAAGTTCTATCCATCAACAGGTCTCTACATATGAAAGGGAATTGAGTATACTTCACAATTATAAATCTGACAAGGTAATCCTGCCACGGTAAGTACTTCACATGCTAGCTAATCAATATGCATTTCCACATAAACATCACAGTGGCATTAACAACAGCATCAACACAGCATTAATTGAAGAAACATCATGCCTCTGGCATTTTGATATTTAAGTCTTCAGAGAGCTGATCAATAGATGTAATAGCATCCACATCATATATTCCCTCTGCTCGCATCACAATGTAGCAAGTTTTCTTTTGGATCTCCTCCTGTTAATGAGCGATAAAGGGTAGATAATCCAAATAAATCAATATAATGATGAAAAAATACTGACAATCTGTATTATGTCTATCATTTAGCAATGTTATTACAAAGACAAAATTAACAGTGAGATTTACTTTTGAATCATTTTCATCTAAGATTTCACCAACAATTTACTTGAATTGCATAGGCAATGCCCAGTATATTGTCAACACGTTGCTCAAACACAGGAACCCTAAACACACATTTTCAAACTTCTTAGCTTTTTGAATATGCACTCGCTGAAGCAAAAGTACCAAGAATTAATTTGACTTGAATATTAATGAGTTACCCACAAACTGTGGAAATCAACAAGAGATGGTACTAGTTTGTACATCGTAAGCCTGTTTTAATAAAATTCCCCTTTTGTTAGTTATCAAGAAAATGTGGAAAAATCAAAATGGGCCATATCATTGCGACCATCACATTTAACTGGTCAGCAATCTATTCTGCCAAGAAATTGGCAATGTGGCAATAGGATGAAGAATAAAATTCATTGTGAAACTTCAGGTTATGTGCAAATAGCTTTATAGATTTCTTTGACTACTAGCATTCAGAAACTAAAAACATGACTAATATTAAGATACAGATAACGAATAAAATATTTAAGATACAGATAACGAATATGTCTTCATTAATAAGAATATTTGCCTCATATACAGGACATTGTGGCATAGCCTGTCAATACTTAAGTAGCAACATTCAAACAAAATCCTATATCCGTTAAAATAACATAATACAGTCAAATGAAATTCCTCTCGCAATTATTAGATGATTAAATAAAACATCAAGGATTAGACTCTTATTTTTACTGCATATATAACAACCACTTGAACCTCTGCTTAGTTACTAGTAACCTACTGCCCCATTCTAACCCTAACTTCCTTCTCTACATAGCCTTAAACATGATATGAATAGCTTCATACAAATATAACTTCATAAATAGCAAATTTATTATCATAACCTTGTGCCGTGTTCTTTTGCTAGCCAAGAAATACTTTCTTGAATACAACTGAAAACCATTTGGTGGAAATAGCCAACAAATGAAGTATGATGTGGAAGATACAAATAGCAATGATTAACTTTTCACCAAAAAAAATAAAAAATCATGATCAAACATACCTTCTTCCTTTCAAACCAAGAGCCTTTAGCATTCCCATTGATAGATATGTAACAACTCTCCCCACAGGGTAAAGTATCATAGAAAACCATGCCACTGGCCTGACCTAGAAACATTGCAAAGTCAAATAGAGCTCAGACAGTAACATCAGCAGAGCACGGAAAACCTACAGAGCTACATTAAGCATGAGGTTGGAGAAAAACAAGGGAAAGCCAATCTATTAAGCATTAATAGACACTCCCTTATTTAAATTGACAAAAATGAAATATATAATTTTTAAACTTACAACAAACCTAGCAACCTCTGTGGCATTATGAACTGCAATACTTTTTGGAGTAATTTCATTGAGAAGTAATACAGCCACCTAATATCATTCAGGAAATGGAAAACTGGATAAAGCAATTGAAATAAGGTATAGACATCTTAGTGTATATCCACATGAGTTTTTAATCCATAGACAACATGAACTTTGTTTCAATGAGGACAAATACTCAGTTTGATGGCAACTTATATCCTGTGCAACCTACAGTCATTATTCCTATTGTTACATTGACACCAGCGTCACAAAATAAAGTTGTTGCTGCCTCTATGACTAACGCAGTGGCCCCAATATTTGCCACACTGAATATGTAAATAGAATGTATAAAAGAATTAATTTTCAAACTCAATATGAAAAGAAAAGAATTAGTTACACTAACATTAAGGGGGAGGGTAGTACATCGTGCCAGTGAGAATAGTCGTCAAAAACCGGGTAACATCACTGTGAAGCATTTTAAAGACACCATTATCAGGCTCTTTATCTGCCAATTCCCGCACCTGATTCAGAATAATATCAAACGGCCAATTAGAACAAATAAAACTATTTGAAGAGATGGCAATCATCTACTTACACAAAAAGTACCATATGATGTTTCAGTTAACATCTTTTATGCTGAAACAGGTAATGTGGTTTAGAATTCAAAGAGCTTGTGCTTATTTTATTAGTCCATATATTCTCATTTGGCTATCCCTCAACTTCAGCAAACTAAAACCCAAAAAAAGAAAAAGCATTCACAACACCACAACTGAGCACAGTCTAATATCATACCCAACATAATAATCGGACTTTATAAGTGCACAATGTGCAATAAAAGGTTACAGACTCCATAAACCACTAACATCAAAATGACACCAAACTAAGCTAATACACTTCCAAGACCAGAATAATAACAAACGCTTAAATGCATAGTTTGTGACAATACAATTACATAAACACTAAACAAAAACAGACTAGCTCTAGAATTTTATACCTTCCAAGGCCAAAGCGTTGTGATAGACGTCTCAGCCATTGACGAGAACGCAGACAAACCCAAAAGGGTAGCCAAAACCAAACCTTGCTCTTTGAATACTCTCAAAACCTGAGAAACTTTAATCCAAGCATTCTTCAACAACAATATGCTCTGCCCAATATCTCCATACCCTGCATTTACTGCACTCTCCACGGCAAAAACTCTCTTGCAACCAAACACCAAAACCCCACAAACAAGCGCCCCCAAAACGCGACACTTTGGATAGCGATGAATTCTTGGTGAAATCTTGACAGAAAATTTCGAACATCGATTTTGGTGGAGGAAAAACGAGATTTTTAATGTTGAAACGAACGTGGGTCGATTGAAAACCGAAGATTCAAGAGCAAAATCCATGAAATGTGAACAAAAATAAATAAAAATTGAAACTTTGGCAAACCCGAGCAAAAATAATTAGAGAAAAAAAAAAACCCCAGAATTAAAGGGAAATTCGGTCAAAATTTGAGAAATGAAGAAGATTGAGATATGTACAAGAATTTATGGGTTTTGGGATTGAGTTTATTAGTGAAAGTGAAAAATGGAGAAGGGTTATAACGGGAATATAGGGTTTTTCAGAGGGTAAAAGAGGGAGAAGGTTTTGGGATATAGTTGAAATGGAAGACTTAGAGAAGTGGAGACTGGAGAGTCTTCTACTCTTCCATTTTCAATGGCAAGTGGGACTGTGGGACTTATAAATTACGAGGATTGCCCTGACTGTAAGTTTTAAAATTACAACTATATCCTTAGATTTTTTAAATACAGTAATAAAAAACTCCCATTAATATCAAGATTAATATAACACAATAAGGAAAAATATTTTGTGGAGTGGAGGCTCCTTGATTAATTTAATGATTTGTGCATTTTTTAACAAAATATAACATTAGAGGACTAAACAGATTTAGAGATAAATTTGTAAAGAACAAAGTTTCTTCAATATAACTTATTGACTAAAAACTTCGTACCATGATTAATATAAAACAATAGGACTAAACAGACTTGCAGATTAATATGTAAAACACAAAATTTCTTCAATATAATCCGTTGATGAATACAAGGATTAAAATTCAAGAGCCTAATAGTCAAATGTTCAGGCTGCCAAAAGTTCTCCTCATGCAAAAGCTTAAAAATAAAATTCTTACAATAGGACTGGTAAATGTAGCAGAAAGTGCATTTTGTTGATAAGAAAAAATCTAAGCTTACCATCAACTTGAAGTACTTCACAACGCAAATAATAACAAACAAATTATTCTTTCCAGTAAGACTTGAAGCACTTTTCATTTATGCTTTTTCTGGAAAACGTGGCTTTACCATGAAAACTTGCAAATAACAGAGTGTTGATAGATAATATATAAACCATGTTGATTCAGTCGATTATACTTTTTGCTGAAAAATTAATGGTGGAGTTTATATTCAAATTCTCATAAAAGAATAAAAATATATGCTGCAAAAATCTAACCACTCACCTTGTTGAGAGGAGCGCTTGAAGTAGGGCTGGTTAACTAACCGAGCCGCTCGCAAGCCGGCTTGGCTCGAGTCCGGCTCGTTAACGGCTCGGTTCTTCTGATAACGAGCTGACTCGACTCGGCTCGTGAGACAGAAAGAGCCGAGTTCGAGCCATGCTTGGCTCGGCTTGTTAGGCTCGCGAGCCGAGTCTGGCTCGAAATATCGGGGGGTTTTTTGAGGTTTTCTGAACTACTGGGATTTAATTGAAAATTATGCAATACAAGTTTTAAAAAAATAACAAAATGCCCCCCATTGTTAAAATCCCCAAATCGTCGAATTCCTTCGCCAGATGAACCCTCGCCGTAATAGTTCAAACTTGAAACTCCTCCCAAACCCACAATTTTCTTCTCCATCATCAGCACAAAATTTCCGTCGGGTTTTCATGGGATCTTCGTCATCTTCATGGGATCTTCGTCATCTTCGTGGGATCTTCGTCATCTTCGTCGAAGCTTCATCATCTTCGTCAGATCTTCATCATCTTCGTCCGAGCTTCGTCATCTTCGTCGGATCTTCATCATTCTTTCGACATCAAAAAGAAAAACAAATTTGAGAAGCTACGAAAGTGATAGTAACCGTTTGTTTCCAGTGAAAAGAACAAGGAAAAACAATGGTTGTTGCTGATACACTGATTCTCTCTCGCTTAGATCGTTTAGAGAACATGGTAAGTGCTTTAAAGCCAGATAATAATCGACGGATCCTGTCTGTTGATTATAATGTGTTAATATAATCTGTGTTGTGGTACACAGTTGAGACAGGTAGAAGAAATTAGATGCTGTAGCAGGTCACCAAAGAGTTCATGTGCATCTACTCCATCAAGTGGGACCCTAAATAGTGGTAGCCTTCCCTCATCCGTTGATTTCTCCCCAAAGAGTCTAGAGAAGTGAAATAAATCAGTTTGACAATAAATGCGCACTGCTGCCCAGCAAATTTAAAAAGAAAAAAATTTGAATTTTTTATTAAAAAATTTGACAATAAATGCGCACTGTTGCCCAGCAAATTTAAAAAGAAAAAAATTTGAATTTTTTATTAAAAAATTTGACAATAAATGCACACTGCTGCCCAACAAATTTAAAAAGAAAAAAATTTGAATTTTTTATTAAAAAATTGAATTATTTGGAGTTGGCTCGCGAGCCGACTCAAACTCGACTCGATAAGCCGGCTCGCGAATCGGCTCGAAATATATTAAAATCATTAACGAGCCGAGCCGAGCCATATAATATATGACTCGGCTCGGCTCGTACTCGGCTCGTTAAATTTTCCTCTTTCACGAGTCGAGCTCGTTAAGCCGAAAACTCGGCTCGGCTCGGCTCGATAACACCCCTAGCTTGAAGTCATTAATTTCTTCTTCTTGGATGGGTTCTCTTCACTCTTGCTATGATTCTGAGCCTCACTCTTTCAACCATTAATACAAACCATAAAGGTTTTCCTATTGTGAATACAATATATCCCATAGACAAGCCTATTACCAATCCAGATCCGTAACCCATCAAAACGATTTTCCAATCAAACCAGTGTTAGACCGGTCGTCACGGTCACAAAATTAAACCTAAATACCGTAGTTAGCGGTAAGCAAGGTCGAATCCACAGTGAGCAAGACTAATGACCTAATGTATTTTTGAGTTAATGAAAGAGAAATTGGCAGAATGATTGATTAAAACTAAAGAAACTAATTACTTGCAGGAAATTAAAAGCATTAAATAAATTGCTAACTAAAACACAATATTAAAAGCGTTGTCGCTACGGGTTCGGTTTGACTCAAGACCAACTCTCACAATTCCTCTCCTCGCTCTTCAATTTCCTAAACCTACAAGGCTAGGCAAATCAATAAAAGTATCTCTCGGCAATCTAGGTATAATCTATCCTGTCTCCCCGTCGTCTTAGTTACAGATCGATTGGTTAAAGACTATCGTTGACTAACCGAAAAATGTTAAACCCTTAAACACCACTGTTGGTACAATGTTAACAGTACAACCTACTAACCTGTATCATCCAATCAACTATTACACAATAAATGCATTCCTAGTAGAAATGATATTAACGCTATTACAACTTGATTGCAATCAGTACCGAAGCAATTTAAAGTCATAATCAACATTCAATAATCTCAAACCGACATTCAATTATGCGAAAAGTTATATATCAATAACGTTCTCAATGGACATTACAATTCAACACGTCGAGCATCAATAATATTAAAGTATCGCAAACAAACTGAAACGAAAATAAATAATATCTGAATACAAAACTTAACCAATATCCAACATTCAGGCTCATCCAACTAGTCGAGAGCTGATGAGAGATCAGTGGAGTCAATCTCGATCTCCCTCCACCGTAACGGACAACCGGAACTCAGCCGCTCATGTGGTGATGACGGAGGCTGAAACAGTGGAAACGGAGCTGATCATGGCGAAGAGGAGGTAACCGACAGCGATATGATGCGAAGAAGGGCCGAAAACGAGCAACGGACAGCCCGGAATATGAACAGCCGCGGTTCGCCAAAAACTTTAATTTTCCGGCGGTCTCCGGAAAACGGTGGCGGAAATGATCCAAAGGTACCGATGGAAAGCTCTGGTGATGGGGATTTCAGATCAGGTCCTGGGAGTGAGAAGTCGCCGAAAATGAGCAGGATCTGGCCTGGAAGATGAAGAGTTGCGGCGGCTAAATCGCGTTCCGCGGTTTTCGCGGTAGCTAAGCAAGGGAAGTGTAGATTTGGCTGTGGGGAATGAAGATCTACCCTTGGGGAGCTGGAACGTCGCCGGAAAACGGCCAAAACTGGCCGGAAGACAAAATGACGCGGTGGTGGAAGTCGAATCGTCGTGGTGTTGTGTGGCGTTTCACGGTGGCAGATGGTGGATCGGTGCTTGGGAGATGGATCGTCGTCGGAGAACCAGGGTCACCGGAGGGACGAATTGTCACCGGAAAACTGGGTGAACACCCCCCCCCCCCCCCCCCCCCGGACGCGATCTGCACTTTTTGTTTTATAGAACAAATTGCAAATTTAAGTTTGTAGTCCCCTACACAATTGAAAAGTGACAAAATCAGCCCCTTAAAACATGACATTTTACCCCCTAAACAGCATAAATGAGACAAAATCACCCTTAATCCATAAACCACAACCCAATATCAACTCATATACTTTCCAAAATCATTCCAAACACGTTAAATTCATAAGAAAAATATTAGGAAGCGATTTTCGTGAATAAATTCATAAATTCTTTAATTGTCTCAATATACTTCAATTTAATCACAAATGGGGTATTTTCTCACCAAAATAGAGTCACTTTCATGACTCTAACAACTAGCTCAAATCATCATCTCTTTCATGGTAGATGGACGGTATTGGTGATGATGGTACATCATTACCACATTTCTTTGACAATGGGGATCCACACAACCCCAAGTTTCCTTTGTAGGAGTCATTTTGAAATGTATTGAATTGATTTCATTGAGGTATAGATCCCACAAGCTGGTTGTATGAAAGATTCAACACAGAAAGAAATGTCAGACTTACGTACTGATTAGGAATCTCTCCAACAAGCTTGTTGAAGGAAAGGTCTAATGATTCAAGACTTGTCAAATTTCCCAATAATGGTGGAATATGACCTCTAAGGTTATTATGAGAAAAGTTGAGGATTTGGAGAAAATTAAGCTTTCCAATTACTGTTGGTATTTGCCCTTGAAATTGGTTGCTTGACAAATCCATTATTACAAAAATGGTTAGAATCTTGTCAATTTTTCTATCAATGCCTTTTACCGTCAAACTAATGGAATAGTATTGAACATAGATCGGCGCATTCCAATAGCGTGAAGCATATGTTTTTGGATATTCTCTCATATATTCCAATTCACCTTCATGATTCTTACCACACATCATACTAAATTTCTCAAAATACCTTGTTGGCAAAATACCTGTGAATTGATTGTGAGAGATGTCAAGTATTCGCAACTTCGGAAATGCTAATCTTGTCTTGGGTTTGCCAACGAAACCATGAAATCTATTAGATCTCAATGTCAAAACTTGCAATTCCGGAAGGTTTGCTAACCAATAAGGAAAAGTATCATTGATCATGTTGTTTCCAACATTTAGAACTTCCAGGCGACTACAATTAACCAACATATGTGGTAATGACCCTTCCAACTTATTGCCACTAAGGTCAAGGTATTGAAAGAGGTCATTAGCTAATGATTGTGGTATGGTGCCATGGAAATTGTTCATTTGTAGATGCAAGATTGAAAGATAGGAGAGTTTATTTCTAAACAGTGAGGAATGGTTCCATTCAAGCCATTGTAAGACAGATCAAGACGTATAATATAGCTCAAGTTGCAAATGAACGGAGAGATCTTTCCAATCAACATATTGTCGGAAACTAATAAGGTTTCCATATTAGGTGCATCTAGCATCACAAGTGGGCCTTGGAGCAAGTTGGATTGAAGGTCAAGAACAGCTAGATTCATCATGGAAGCTTTTCCAAAAGGGACAAAACTTGTCAGAAAATTGTGAGAGAGATTCAAAAAGTATAAATTGTGAAACGATTCCAATTGTTGTTGAGAAATCTGGCCAAGAATTCCATTGTTTGAAAGGTCTAAATTTGTCAAGTTTTCTGAGTTTCTTAAGAAGAAAGGGAATTCGGTTATGTTGCAAGAAGAGAATCTGAACTCTCGAAGGTTAGGCAAGGTAATGTTGGCCTTTATGGGGGTAACTAAAGATAGTAAGGTGTTATGGGAAAGGTCAATCATAACTATATTTTTGAGCTTGGACAACATTTCTGGTTTCACAATGCCACTCAAATTGTTGAAAGAAAGGTCAAGTTGTGTAAGGTTTAAAATTTCAAACATGGAATTTGGAATTGAACCTTGAATTTGTTTATTCATTAAATAAACAACATTCACAAAACCAGGCTGATGGAACTCCTCAATCGGACCTGTGAGTTTGTTATAGCTAAGGAACAATGTCTCCAAAGATGGTAGAGTAAACAACCAAGATGGAACTCTTCCATCTAGAAAATTATCAGATAGGTCAAGAAAAGTTAGATTTGAAAGACCACTTACTTGATATGGAATATGACCTTCAAATTGGTTTTTGGAAAAGCCTAAAACCGAAAGTTGTTAGAGGTTGAATGCTGAAGATGGCAACTAACCACGAAAATTGTTGTCTGAAAGACCTAGATTGGTCAATTTGCTGAGGTTGCCAAAAACATCTGGAATCTGTCCTAAAAAACTGTTGAAACTGAGATATAAACTTCTGAGTTGACTAAGTTTAGATAATGACATTGCAACTTTGCCTGTAAACTTATTGTATGCCAAATCCAAAGTGGTGATATTCGTGCAATTCCAAAGTGATGTTGGAATTGAACCTGTGAAGTTATTTGACCCAAGATGCAACTCATTCAAGTATCTAAGATTGCCAATTTTGTCAGGCAATTTTCCAGAGAAACCTGTAGCAGTGAGATCCAATACATTCAAGTATATAAGATCGCTAATTGTGTCCGGTAATTGTCCTGAGAAATTTGTCACAGAGAGATCCAATACATTCAAGTATATAAGATCGCCGATTGTGTCAGGTAATTGTCCTGAGAAATTTGTCACAGAGAGATCCAAGAATCTAAGGGAACTGCTCCAGTTAGAGTTTGGTAAATTACCTATAATATTTTCATTTCCGGCCAAACTCAACTTCTAGAGGAATGGAAGGCGGAAAACATCATTTGGAAACCTGTCTTGCAGACTAGTATCGCCAACTATAAGAGATATCAGAGTAGAAGACAAGTTCAGCAAGGAGCCAGGTGCAACTAAAGACAAATCCACAGCATCGAGGTGAAGATATCTTAATTTTGTAAGATTCTGTAAGTGCTTATTAAAAACATGTTGGCTCAATTCAGGTAATCTAAGGGAATCAGTAACACCAGAGAGGTCAAGCGAAACAAGTTTAGATAGGTGAAAAATTTCGATTGGAATTACGCCATAGAAACTGGAGAAAGAAAGGTTAAGATGCGTTAATTTCATGAATTGACCAAACTTGGATGAGATTGTCGATTCACTGAAATCATTACAAGCGAGCTTGAGCTTCTGGAGATTGTGAAGGAGGAAGAGACTACTATTGTCATTAACAATGCCATGGATCCAACTATAAGAAAGGTCAAGGCCAATCACATGACCTGTGTAGCTATCACAAGTGACCCCATCCCATGAGCAGCAATCACGTCCCTCTTTCCAAGAATCTGCCTTAGGATAATGATATTCTTTGCAAGGATAGTAAGAAGAACTATCAATTTTTAAGGTGCTCTTGCTCTTGAAATGGAGTAAGGAAGAGCTTTGTTCAGGGGAGCAAAGTTTGATTGAACGAGAAGAAGAGTTATAAGGAGATGAGGAAATGGCTTGAAAACTCAAGTCCAACAGGAAGAGGCAGGGGAGTAGATAGTGCCATGATAGCCTCCACATGTTTTCACAGGAAACAGAAGAACTTGCATAAAATTGTTGAGAGAGATGAGAAGTGAAGATGAAATTTCTATGTATATATAGATAAATAAAAGGAGAAAAATGTAACCAAGGCTTGGTCATGCACTGATCTCTACTCCATGGACTTAGAATTTTATTATGATGACTTTGAATTAGATGATTCATATATCATGATTGGTATAAATTGGGAACAAAATTCAAAGTGGGATTCACTATTGTAAAGAGACAGCTTTCATATCACGAAGTCTTGGTCGTGCACTGAGGTCTACTCCATCAAGTCTTTCGTCAAGCACTAACGAGGTACTACTGGATTTAGTATGGATCATCCAACGGCTCTTTTTCTACTTTCTAATAATAAAATAACACAAATGTCTTACATGGATTGGATTCAAGAGGTAACAGTAATGTTAAGGTTGGCAAAACTTCTCCCTAAAAAAATGTAAAGAAATTTTCTTGCTAAATTTTATCAGCGGAGAATTTCCATCAAGAAATTGATGCCACTGCTATTGCAAAAGGGTGATTTATGAGCATTCAAATAATGATGGAGTATTATCTGTAAGGTTATTGTGAGATAAGATTTAGGATATACAAATTGTGCCACAATTTTGATTCCATTTACGTAATTTGGCGAGATAAGCTAAATTTAGTTAGATCTGAAAGGCCACTTGCATCATTTGAACATAAATAGTTTTGAAAAGGTTGATAACTTGATATATGTTTGGTTATTGTTATTTCTTGAAATTCAGTGGACATTCCTAATCTCATAGATCTTTTTATATTTCCCCTGTTTGCATCTATTTTCTGAGTCATAGATCATACTACTATGATTACAAATTCTTCTTAAAAGTTTCAAGTTAATCTGTTGAAAATGATTTGACTATTGATATATAAATTCTAAGCAATGTTAATAATAACAAAGGTAACTGATGGATGTTACGGCCTCTGCATTGCTAGAAAACGAGCATTTGGTCACAAGAGAATGATATTATGCTTTTATTTGCATATGCAAGAAGGGAATTCTGTCAGAAGAGTCTTCTAATCTAACAGAAATATCTAAATTTTCAGCTTTTATAAATTGAAATTCTAAAAATTTTAGAGAGTGTTATAGCAATTGTAACTCATAATTATTCGACCTCAAAATTCAAAACTTTCATTTGAAAATTTTAACTCTTAAAATCAAATTTAAAGATACATGTGTTAGGTTCTTTTGCTCTCTCCCAACGCTGCCCTGCAACCAAACTCTTTGGAATTAGGAAAAAATGGAGATCAAAGTTTAAATATGGAATCTTATCATTGACTAGATTGAACTGAGGCTGTTGGAGACATATCTTCTGTAGGAATTTACGAAGTTTAATGTTCTTTAGTTTAAATTTATTTTCTCAAACGCATAAATTTATATAAATAAGCTTGGACGCCACACTATATTGGTTTCTTGGTTTGATGCAAGAAAAATTACTGAATCTAGTGCCTGCGTTTTGAACTCGGTATATATTCATCTTCCGCTTCAGTCTTTGTCTTCTTACACATTTTGAAAATTATAGCTTCTCAATTGGTTGATGCAGTGGGGAAAGGCCTACATGACTTCCCCAATAACTTGACTACCACGTAGGAAGTCTTCATGACATTTTTTCTACAGAAATTAATGACAAACGTAAGGTTAATGTATCTAAAGAGACTTAAGTATTGACTAATTCCTATCTAAGTTCATTTGACACCATAAAATTAAATACTCGACAAAACAATTCTACCTTAATCAATGATCATTTTCATGATCAATTCAAAAGAAAATTAGCAAGTATTAGAATATTAAAGTAGTTTGGGATTTACTGATTTACCCTTGCCTGGGATTTACTGATTTACCCTTGCCTTGTATTATAAAAGGCTTGTAAACAGTGAAAGCTTTTAATAAGAAAAAAACGAAAATTTCAGTCTTCTTCTTCACTTGCTCTGTTTCTTTTCAGCTCATTAGGTTTACATTTCATCTCTAAATCAACTGCAAGTAGCACAAGACTGACTTATTATACCAACAAAATTTCTACATTCCACTAACATGGGGCCTTATATGGAGATAAAATAGGCGTGGAAATTAATAAATGAACTATGATGTTATGACCATAAGTTTTAAGGACTATCTATGTACACATTGTTTTCATTCTCATTCAGAAGACTTTAAAATTACATGAATATATTCCAATCAATCTTGTCTCATTGCACTTTTTGGTAGTAAAAGTTGCATCATTGAACATGAACAGTTTGAAAATTTAACATCACTTGCACTGTAGAAGTTGAAATTGTCATTTTTGGTGCTAAAATGGTCTCCAATTTACACAAAAGTCTTGATTCTATGTTTTAGTTTTCCACATGCCTTCGATTATAAGTTAAAAAGCATAAATATATATATTTTATGCATTGCGTAGAATAAGCAAGTTTGAAATAGAAAATCACCAAATTACCATGCATGGAAAAAAGAAAACATGTAACGTACCGTCTAAGTCATATTCGAGATAATTTGAATCCTATTCCGATATGAATTTACATGGATAAGCTTCAAAATATTTTATTACATGTGTATTTTAACTCATGCATGGTCAAGACCTACTCTCCTATTACATTTTTATTTATTGACAATCAATCACAAATTTTGTACATCTAATAATAAATATAGATCTTTTGATTTGACAATCATACAATCCTTTTAGCTCATCCAGTGAGGAAAGGGGGTAGAGGATTGATTATTTCAATAATTTATTCAGCACTAATGTCTTGGTCTACTACTACAATAATTTAATGTGTCTACTTTCCAACACACACATTAATTATAATATATTAATATAAAGATTGTTCCATATGAAGAAAACAAATATCACTTTCAAATGCATTATTCTATTTTTTTCTCTTAGATTTCAGTAAGTCATCATAGGAAAGAAAAAAAAAAAATGGATCTTTATAGAACTCAATTTCTTGGTTGATAAGTTGTCTAGAAAACTAGAATATATATATATACACGTGTGTGTGTGTGTAGTTCATATTTGATAAGATTTGGAAAGTTTTGTATTACTATAATCTCTAGTCGTAAGCCATATGCTTTATCCATTCCACTTTCTCTAGATTGGAGATGTTTATGAATATAATTTGTGAGAGATAAATTAAATCTTACTATTGTAACCATCCTGGCCAAATTATTGATGACTGAATGAATGAGATAATTTTTTACTTGAAAGAAGAAAGTTAACTGTGTTGGTAGATGTTAAACAAAGTATTAGAAACAGGACAGGGCTCATGCAATGGCTAACTAAAATTGTTCAAAATAAAATATTCAAATCAAACCAGTATCATTCATAGTTTAGCTCTCAAATTATTATGAATTCAGAAGTAAAATTCTAAGCACATTAATATCCGAATTCATAAAAGATCCATAGAGAGCTTCTTGTGTTCTATTGTTCTGCAACTATTCCCCTCAAATAAAAGTTCGAAAATAAGGAAGGGGAATAAAATTAGTCTTAAACCTCATAAACCAGGACTTAGTTTAAGATCAGATCCCCTTTTTGGAACAAAAAATTAACTGTACTGAAAGAAACAGGGCAGGGGTTCACGCAATGGCCGACTGTTTTGCGCCATTATTATTATTATTTTTCTACAAATGGTAGCTAACACACAAATTATCTAGCTTTGAGTTCACCAACAATCATGCGGTGAAGGCCTGAGGCCGTTCTTGTGGGGATTTAATCGGATGCTAACAAATCCTAAATCCCTATGAAAGCGAAAATAAAACAAACAAATAACAAATAAATAAATCACACACAAACACAAGATTTATAGTGGTTCACTCTCTGTATGAGAGTTACGTCCACTTTGTTGCAGAATTTCACTATGAAGAAGAAACAAATATTAAAAAAGTCTTTCAGAAGCCTCACAAATCGACACTCTCACTAAACCTCTTTCTGGTGGCTCTCACTTTCTAATCTTGGTATTGTCTTTTATTGTACTCAATTGTTTAACTCTAGGATTTAACCCCTTTTTATAGGTAATTTTAATTGGTACAAAATATAATATTCCAATTATCTCAAACCAAAATGCAGTAAGTACCAAGTTAATTTTACTTTGCAAAATTGCGGGAAACCAGGGCTCATCATATACCAAGTTAATGCTCTCTCCCACATTCTTCAATTCCATGGAATCAAATCCCTAGGAGTCTGCAAAATGGAAATGACAGGAGTGAGTTTCGCAATGTAGCTAAATTAAATTTCAAAACTATTGGTACAACACATATATCGTCAACACTATAACAAAGTTTGCATTTGATGATAACAAACATTCCTCTACAATTTTGAAACAATACTTACACTGGAGAACTTGTAAGAACTATTCTTTTCTTCCACATTGTCTCTTGTTTGGCCTTCTCCCCTTTTGATGGTGTCCTCCTTCAACGATCCTTAGAAGCCACCGAGGCTTTCCTGTTGAAAACACAAGATATCTTATGATCATTCCAAACACCATTCCACATCCATAGCCTATCAACATCAATTTCCAATCAAATCCATTTGTATGGAGTGTATCATTTTACAATTTTGAGGTTGGTTGTAATGTCTCATCTCTTATGTATTCTTTTGACAGTGGAAATCCGCACAACCACAAGTTTCTAGTTTATAAAGTATTTCCGAAGGTATCAAAGCGCACTGCCTATGGAATGGGCCCCGTGAGTTGGTTTTAAGACAAGTCTAGCACTCTAAGAAAATTTAAATTTGCCAACTGCCACAGAATTTTTCCAACAAGCAATAAGATTTCATAAAACTTAAAAAGTTCACAATAGAAAGAACAAACATATGAAAGTTCACCTTGGTGATAGTTTGATGGATGTTGCGGCCCCCTGCATAGCAAGAAACAGGGCATTCTGTTACAAGAGAAGAGCATTGTGCTTTTATTAGCTTATCCACTAATTATAGGCGAACTCTGTTATAAGAGATCAAGTTGGTTTTATCTATTAAACCCCTATTTCTTTATGGTGAAAACTGAAATTTACAGAAGCAATTGCCTTCGTCCAACTAATATGGGTCCTTAAATGGAGAAAAAATAGGTATATATTATAATAATTTTAATTCATTAATTATTAAAATTCTCATAATTACAAAGATTTGAGTGCTTCTCCATCACACGAATCTAAACAGAGAAATGTTGATGAATGATAAAGAAATGGTGTTATGTTTTGAAGATGGCAAATTAAATTACTCATGGCATGGTTCATGACTTAATATTGTTATAATAAAGCAATTAGTACGTATCATAAACAATTATTACTCAAAATTGTAATTTTGTAAATTTGTAACAACTATAGTTGATTCTTTTGGTACTGATAACAAGTTGTATATCATAGTATATTTTTAAAATACAAAAATGCACCAAAAACAACTATAAATAGATTAAATAAAATATTATAAATATGAATATTAAAGATTTAATAGATCATATTCCTGGCTACGTCTATGGTGGGAAGTAGGCCAGATAGAGAAGTAAGAATGTGAAGGTTCTAGAAATGATCCTTGAGAACTTATAACGACAACTTAATGTGATGGAGCTTCCACAAGAGTAAATGTAGCACAAAAGGATCAAGACCATACCTCGAGTTTGTAGATCAGATGCTTTTCCTTCAATTCTTGGCAATCGGATCCAGATTCATAATGTTCTTTGTTTTCTTTCCTGGTTTTCCGTTTCAAGGACCACTTTCATACTCTCACCCGTCCTTGGGATGTATCCAAAGGCCTCACATATAAAATCTGATACCGTCTCATACTGATGACCCTATAAAATAAGAGGAAAGAAAAGGTAACTAGATATGTGAAATTAAGCAATCATGGACACTTAAAACAACATATAATCAAGTCTTTCTTCAGTTGAAGCATAAGATAGGAGCCCTAATATGCATGACAATACTGTTACAATACAGCTTTTACCCATTGACAGCAATGCATAACTGAGCAGTTAAATAGTCCCAGATCAGTCCATAAATCATGGTAAAAAAAATCAAGTGTATTACTGTGCTTAACCAAATTCTTTTTAGTCATAATAAAATATTACTAAACTATCATAATAATGACACTTTTGCCTTTACCTGTGCTGGTCCCCCCTAATAGGGATAAAGGGGTGTTCTCAATAAAGTTCTATCCTGCCACGGTAAGTACTTCGCATGCTAGCTAATCAATATGCATTTTAACATAAACATCACAGTGGCATTAACAACGCATCAACACAGCATTACTTGAAGAAACATTATACCTCTGGATTTTGATATTTTAGTCTTCAGAGAGCTGATCAATAATGTATTAGCATCCACATCATTATTCCCTCTGCTCGCACACAATGTAGCCAGTTTTCTTCTGGATCTCCTCCTGTTATGAGTGATAAAGGGCAGACAATCCAAATAAATCATATAATAGATGAAACATACTGACAACCTGTATTATGTAATCATTTAGCAATGCATTACAAAGACAAATAACAGTGAGATTTACTTTTGAATCATTTTCGTCAAAGATTTCACCAACAATTTCTTAGTTTGGTTCACAACCTGCTTCATCAGAAAAAAAAAAAAAAAAAAAAAAAAGGTTATTGGGCTCAAAACTGAAGGTCAAAGGTACTATTGAGTGACCAAAGCAACCCTTTAACATCAAAATGTTTAATGAAAAACTAGTTCTAACTTAGTTTGGTTCAGACATGAGTGTGTATATACCCCCACAGTTCCACCATACTCATTTAGAACAACAGCCATGTGAACCTTCCTGATGTGGAACTCTCTGAGAAGATTCCAAACTGTCATTGAATCTGCAAACCAATAACAAAACCCTATTTATTCAGACAGATAATATAAACAACAGATTCACAGAAAAATAAATAATACAAAAAATTTCATTAAAAAAACACAGCATCAACTTGAAATTGGCTTTAAGGATTACCAGGGATGAAGTACGCAGGTTTGTGGGCCATGTCTCCCACTGTAGTACTTTCTAGGAGATCCACCTTCAAAATAGAAAGATCATAATTCTGTACACAATGAGATTGTCACATAAAATCAATAAAAAACGTGGTATTAACCTCAGAGAGGGAGGAAGAAGAATAGAAATCCCCTGACCTTCTGAACATAATCCAGCAGATCCATTGCATAAGCAACGCACACTATATTGTCAACAAGTTGCTCAAACACAGGCACCCTAAACACAAATCCTCAAACTTCTTAGCTTTTTGAAAATGTAATTGCTGAAGTGAAAGTACCAAGGATTAATTTACCTTGAATATTGATGAGTCACCCACGAACTATGGAAATCAACAAGAGTGGCACTTGCATCAATTGCAACTACATCAACAAGAGGTGTCATCACCTCTCTAACATGTGTATCCTTTATCTCTAACACATTTTCAATCATGTTCTGCAAAAAAATTCTTAAGAAAAGAGCATTTGAACCATAAAACAAACAAAAATAAATTCTTAGAAAGTTTTACATGATTTCTTGAGGTAACGAGTAGTTAAAAAATTCACAAAGAGATGGTATTCGTTTTAATAAAATTCCCCTTTTGTTAGTTATCAAGAAAATGTGAAATAATCAAAATGAGCCATATCATTACTATCATCACATTTAACTAGTCAGCAATCTATTCTGCCAAGAAATTGGCAATATGGCAATAGGGTGAAGAATAAAATTCAATGTGAAACTTCCTGTTATATGTATATGACTTAATAGAAAATAAACAAAATGACTTATATTTAACATCAAAACGTGAAAATATAAGAAAATTTTAATTCATCAATTTCATTACCTGTTCTTCCACCTCTATTGCCCCACTTAACTCTGCTCCACGCAACATCAGCTTCAACTCATCTTCAATAACGTATAGCTCATTGTTAAAGAAGATACATATATATAACTAAAGGGGAAAAAAAAGTTAATAGAACATTATCTATGACAAACTAAGTAATGATGCTTTCAATTAATATGTCCTCGCTAATAAGAATATTTGCCTCATATAAAGGACACTGGGGCATAGCCTGATCAATACTTAAGGGGCAACATTCAAACAAATTCCTAAATCCATTTTAATAACATAATACAGTCAAATGAAATTCCTCTTGTAATTATTAGATGATTGAATAAAACATCAAGGATTAAACTCTTATTTTTATTACATATATAACTACCACTTAAACTTCCTTCTCACTGCTAGTAACCTACTGCCCCATTCTCACTCAAACTTCCTTCTCTACATAGCCTTAAACATGATATGAATAACTTCATACAAATATAACTTGATAAAAAGCAAATTTAATTTCTTATCATAACCTTGTGTCCTGTTCTTTTGCTAGCCAAGAAATACTTTCTTGAATACAACTGAAAACTGTTTGGCTCATTCAAATGAGTTGTCTAAAGTCACAACTTGTGGAAATGGTTAAAAAATGAAGTATGATGTGGAAGATACAAAAAGATTAAAAAAAAAAATAGCAATGATTATCTTTTCACCAAAAAAATAAAAGATCATGATAAGACATACATTCTTCCTTTCAGACCATGAGCTTTTAGCATTCCCATTGATAGATATGTAACAACTCTTCCCACAGAGTAAAGTACCAAGGAAAGCCATGCCACTGGCCTGACCTAGAAGCATTGCAAAGTCAAATAGAGCTCAGACAGTAACATCAGCAAAGCATGGATAACCTACAGAACGACATTAAGCATGAGGTTGGGGAAAAAACAAGGGAAAGCCAAATCTATTAAGAAAAATAGATTAGATTGATGAAAATGAAATATATAATTTTTAAACTTACCACAAACCTAGCAACCTCTGTGGCATTATGAACAGCAATACTTTTTGGAGTAATTTCAGTGAGAAGTAATACGGACACCTAATATCATTCAGGAAATGGGAAACTGGTTAAAGCAATTGAAATAAGGTATAGATATCATAGTGTGTATCTGCATGAGTTTTTATTCCATAGACAACATGAACTTTGTTTCAATGAGGACAAATACTCAGTTTGATGGCAATCTATATCCTGGGCAACCATAACTTAGATGTCGACTGTAACCACTGCCTGGCATTTCAATATGAGTTCATAATATATATGCATGTCCTTAAAAGATAGAGAACGTTATACTTACAGTCATTACTCCTGTTGCTGCACTGACACCAGCCTCACCAAATAAAGCTACTACCAAACAGGTAATGTGGTTTATCATTCAAAGAGCTTGCGCTTATTTTATTAAACTCTCATTCGGCTATCCCTAAACTACAGCCAACTAAAACACAAAAAAAATAAAAAAAGCATTCACAACACCTCAACGGAACACAGTCTAATATTGTACCCAACATTATATAGTTGTACTTTATAAGTACATATGATAAAGCAGCATAGAATAAATAAAATAAAATAATTTGCTTTTCAAAATAATAACACAATGTGCAATAAACCACCAACATAAAAATGACACCAAATAAGCTAATACACTACAAAGACCAGAATAATAACACAATGTGCAATAAACCACCAACATCAAAATGACACCAAATAAGCTAATACACTACCAAGACCAGAATAATAACAAACACTTAATGCATAATTTGTGACAACATAATTACATATACATTAAACAAACACAGACTAGCTCGAGAATTTTATACCTTCCAAGGTCAAAGCGTGGTGATAGACGTCTCAACCACTGAACAGAACGCAGACAACCCCAAAAGCGCAGCCAAAACCAAACCTTGTTCTTTAAACACTCTCAAAACCTGAGAAACTTTAGGCCAAGCATTCTTCAACAACAATATGCTCTGTCCAATAACTCCATAGCCTGCATTTACTGCACTTTCCACAGCAAAAACTCTCTTGCAACCAAACACCAAAACCCCACAAACAAGCGCCCCTAAAACGACTCCCTCTTTCATCAAAATCTTAATTTTCTCTACATTTGAATCCAAAACTTCATTTTTTNTAATAACAAACACTTAAATGCATAATTTGTGACAACACAATTACATATACATTAAACAAACACAGACTAGCTCAAGAATTTTATACCTTCCAAGGTCAAAGCGTGGTGATAGACGTCCCAGCCACTAAACAGAACGCAAACAACCCCAAAAGCGCAGCCAAAACCAAACCTTGTTCTTTAAACACTCTCAAAACCTGAGAAACTTTAGGCTAGGCATTCTTCAACAACAATATGCTCTGTCCAATAACTCCAAACCCTGCATTTACTGCACTCTCCACAGTGAAAACTCTCTTGCAACCAAACACCAAAATCCCACAAACAAGCGCCCCTAAAACGACTCCCTCTTTCATCAAAATCACTTACACAATAAAACACTTACAATAAAACTAATAAATGTATCAGAAAAATATAAGCTTACCATCAACTTGAAGTACAAAACACAAATAATAACAAACAAAATATTTTTTTTCTAGCAACACTTGAAGCACTTTTGATTTATGCTTTTTTCTGGAAAATGTGGCTTTATCATAAAAACTTGCAAAATAACGTACTACTGAAAGATAATAGATATACCATGTTGATTCAATCAGTTGCTCTTGTCAAGTGCCTAGCTCTAAAAAGAAAGAAAATTTTGAAAATTAATAGTGGAGTTTATATTCAAATTATTGAAGAAGCATAAAAATATATGCTATAAAAACCGAAGCACTCACCTCTTAAGAGCAACTCTTGAAGTCACTAATTTCTTCTTCTTGGATGGGTTCTCTTCACTTTTGTTATGATTATGAGCCTCAATCTTTCAACCGTTACTACAAACCATAGAGGTTTTCCTATTGTGAATACAATGTATCCCATAGACAAGCCTATTACCAATCCGCATCCGTAACTCATCAAAACGATTTTCCAATCGAACCAGCTCGAACCATCGTCTCCTTCATGGTAGATGGACGGTATTGGTGATGGTGGTTCATCATCCCCACATTTATTTGACAACGGGAGTCTACACAGCCTAGAGTTTCCAATGTAAGAATCATTTTGAAATGTATTCAATTGACTTCCTTGAGGTATAGAGCCTACCAATCGGTTGTATGAAAGATTCAATACAGAAAGAAATGATAGACTTGTCAACTGATTAGGAATCTCTCCAACAAAGCTATTAAAGGAGAGGTCTAATGATTCAAGTCCTGTCAAATTTTCTAATATTGGTGGAATATGACCTGTAAGGTTATTGTGAGAAAAGTTGAGGACTTGAAGGGAATTAAGCTTTCCAATTACTTCTGGAATTCGCTCTTGAAATTGATTGTTTGACAAATCCATCATCATAAAAATGGTTAGAATTCTATCTATTTCCCTATCAACACCTTTTACTGTCAATATAATTGAATAATATTGAACAGAGTTATTAATGAAATTTTCCCCTTCAATCGTCACTCCCATATATTCCAAATAATCTTTATGATTATCCCAACGCATCATGTTAAAATTTTCAAAATATCTTGTTGGCAAAAAACCAGTGAATTGATTGTGAGAGAGGTCAAGTATTCGCAGCTTAGGAAACAATACTCTTGTCTTGGGATTTCCAATGGGACCATGAAATCTATTAGATCTTAATATTAGAACTTGTAATTCGGGAAGGGTCGCTAACCAATGAGGAAAAGTATCTTTAATCATATTGTTCCCAACGTCTAGAACTTTCAAATAACTACAATTAACCAAAGCAGGCAGCGAACCCTCTAACTTGTTGCCATTAAGGTTAAGGTATTGAATAGATCTAATCGGGATTGTTTGGGGGATGCTACCGTGGAAATTGTTGTTTCTCAGATTCAAGAATGATAGATAATAAAAGTTCCCTAGACATTTAGGAATTGTTCCACTCAAGCTATTGTTAGACAAGTCAAGAACTTTAATAAACCTTAATTTGCAAATGTATGAAGAGATCTCTCCAGTAAAAATATTATTGGAAAGTGATAAGATTCGCATATCAAGTGCATCTGGCATCATAGTTACTGGGCCTTGAAGCAAGTTGGATAGAAGGTCAAGAACCATTAGTTTCATCATTGAAAAGTTTCTAGGACAATTAACACTTGTCAAAAAATTGTCAGAGAGATTAAAATAGTTCAAATTGGGAAGCAATTCCAGCTGTCGTTGAGAAATCTTGCCAGAAATTCTATTGTTTGAAAGGTCTAGATTCAACAATTTTTCTTGAGTTCTTAAGAAAATTGGAAATTGGGTTATGTTGCAAGAAGAGAAATAGACCCCGACAAGACTGGGCAAGGTAAAGTTGGCTTTTTGAGTGATTAATGACAATAAGGGGTTATGGGAAAGGCTAATATAACTGAGATTTTTGAGGTTGGACAACATGTCTGACTTCACAGTGCCACTCAAATTGTTGGATGAAAGGTCAAGTTCTAAAAGGTTTAAAAGTTCAAACATGGAATTTGGAATTTGAACATGAATCTTGTTATTCCTCAAAAGAATTTTTTCCAATGGACCTACAGGCTGATGGAACTCCTCAATAGGACCCGTGAGTTTGTTGTTGTGAAGGTGTAATGACTCCAAAGATGGTAAAGTAAACAACCAAGATGGTACTCTGCCATTTAGAAAGTTATCAGACATGTAGAGATGAGTAAGAAGTGAAAGACCACTTACTTGACAAGGAATATGGCCTTCAAGTTGATTGCTGGAGAAGTCTAAAAAAGAAATTTTATGAGGTTGAATGCTGAAGATGGCGAAAATTACAGAAGCAATTGCCTTTGTCCAAATAATGAGTTCTTAAATGGAGAAAAAAATTGGTATATATGGAAATTAAATGAGTCCTATCATCACTCCTAACACCACTTCAGTTCCATATCCTATGACTAAACCTTTCCATCCAAATCCATTTAAGGACTCTGCATCATCGTCCACTATTGATGATGGTGGTTTGCAGTGTCCTATCACGTAAAGCCACATTTATTTGACAAAGGAAATTTACACAAAGCCACATTTACTTGGAAGAATGTTTAATCTTGTCAACTGCTATGAATTTTCCTAACCAGTTGAAGTAACGAATTCAAAGCCAGAATGATGTAAAATAATGACACAGTTAGAAAATCAAGCCTTGGTCATCCAGTAGTGAGAATTACTCCATTAACTTACTCTTGGTCATGCACTTGCTAATGGAGAACACAGTAGTTATGCATAACAATTCGCCAATTACATTTTTTTTTTTTTTTTTTTTTCTGAATTTAAAGATTCCTTTACAATTTGTCTTTTAACACAAACATTTGTCATTCAACTATTCTCCTTTCTCTTCCTGGCTGTCAAATTTGTGAATCAGAGAAGAAGCTGGAAATCACTGCATGGCTAAAAGTAACATTGTTGGCTGTAGTCTCTAGTAAACCCTCAACACCAAACATAAAGGAGAGAAAAAGAGGAAATAAAAAAATAAAAAATGCTCTCCCTAAGAATGAACACTGCAAAACCATCTTTCGTATGAAGAGATTCGTTGAACCTAAGAACACAGAATAAAATCAAAGGGTGCAGGGAACCAAAGCTGCCCAAATCTAATAGAGACTAATAACAGACAAAAGAGCATTTGTATTCCTTTTAGCAGGGTTATAAAATCATATATATAAACATTCATACTTCAATGCCTAACAACAAACAAAATCATCATATTTGATATTTCTCCATAAAACAAATTGAATGTCCCATTCACAGACCCATACATCATTTGCTGCACTCGAGCGATGAATAAGAACAAAGAATTCCCAGAGTAGAGGTTTCTTATATTATCGAAGATTAAAAATAAAAACAGAAAAGAGGAAGATTCAATAAAGAGCCAATCTACTTAATAACATAAATAATCATTTGATAAAGTACATTACAATTGAAACTGATGAGTAATTAGGCTACTGACTGCTCATCAAGACCAAGTAACTATAGCTGCATTCTTCTAACACAAAAAGGGAACTAAAGGTTTCCTGTTGAGAAGACTAGCTTTAAATATTCTAGAAAATGTAATTGACAACTTTCTTTTATCTTCTGTGGTCAACCAACGCTATCTTTCTAATAAAACTGAGAAGTATGTTGTAAGAGCTGATGAATGATGAAGTTATATATCTGATAAACAAATGGTGTTATGTTTTGAAGATGGCAAATTAAATTACTCATGCCATGATTCATGACTTAATATTGTTATAATAAAGCAGTTAATAATCTGGTTATATTATTAAACAGAAGTTATCTGCACTGAAGAAACAGGGCAGGGCTGAAGAGCCAGAGGCCCTATAAACTACTATTCTGAATAAATATCACAACATTTGTTAAACTGAAATTCAACAAAATAGCATATTAAAGCCTACATTATAGCTCGTAATTCTAACTCCAATAATATTCAGAAATCCTATGATAAGACCATGTAAAGACTCCAAGATGTTGAATATCCCAACTTATTCAAAAGATTCTACAGATTGATTTCTACTGCACGCTCTTTCCCAAACTCTTCAATACCATGGAATCAAATCCTTAAAAGTCTGCAAAATGGAAATAAAAGGAGTGAGTTTTCAATAGAGTAGCCATGATCTCAAATCTAGCTGAATTAAATTACAAAACTAGCTTGTACAACGCATATATCATCAATACGATAAAAAAAGTTTGCATTTGATAATAAAAATGCTATAAAAACTAGCTTGTAAATTTCTAAAATACAAAAATGCATCAGAAACAACTACAAATACATTAAATAAAATATTATAAATGAATATTTAAGATTTAATAAATGTTATATTTGTAAAATTTTATGATCGTTTAAATTGGCCCCTCCTAAAACATATTCCTGGCTACGACTATGATGGAAAGTAGGCCAGATGGAGAAGTAAGAATGTAAAGGTCTAGAAATGATCCTTGAGAACTAGGACACACAATGATTCAGAAACTAAGCTATTCCTAGAAAATATAATAAACTTGTAACCACAACTTAATGTGATGGAGCTTCCACAAGAGTAAATGTAGCTCAAAAGGATCGAGACCATACCTCGAGTTTGTAAATTAGATACTTTTCCCTCAATCCCTGGTGGTCAGATCCAGATCATCATGTTCTTCGCTTTCTTCCTGGTTTTCCTTGTAAAGTATCACTTTCGTACTCTCACCGGTCCTTGGGATGTATCCAAAGGCCTCACATATAAAACCTGATACCATCTCATACTGATGACCCTATAAAAAAATAGGAAAGGAAAGGTAACTAGATATGCAAAATTAAGCAATCATGGACACTTAAAACAACATATAATCAAGTCTAACTTCTCCAGTCGAAGCAAAAGATGGAGCCCTAATATGCACAACAAAGACTGTCGCAATACAGCCTTTACCAATTGACGGCAATGCATAACTGAGCAGTTAAATAGTCCCAGATCATTCCACAAATCATGGTAAAAAATATCAAGTGTATTCTGTGCTTAGTCAAATTCTTTTCAGTCATAATGAAATATTACTAAACTATCATAATAATGACACTTTTGCCTTCACCAGAACTGGTCCCCCCCAATAGGGATAAAGGGGTGTTCTCAATAAGGTTCTATCCATCAACAAGTTTCTACAGATGAAGGGGAATTGAGGATACTTCAAAATTATAAATGTTACAGGGTAATCCTGCCACGGTAAGTAGTTTGCATGCTAGCTAATCAATATGCATTTTAACATAAACATCACAGTGGCATTAACAACAGCATCAACACAGCATTACTAGAAGAAACATCATACCTCTGGCATTTTGATATTTAAGTCTTCAGAGAGCTGATCAATACATGTATTAGCATCCACATCATATATTCCCTCTGCTTGCATCACAATGTAGCCAGTTTTCTTCTGGATCTCCTCCTGTTATTGATTGATAAAGGGCAGACAATCCAAATAAATCAATATAGTGATGAAAACATACTGACAACCTGTACTATGTATATCATTTAGCAATGCTATTACAAAGACAAAATTAACAGTGAGATTTACTTTTGAATCATTTCGTCAAAGATTTCACCAACAATTTCCTCAATCACATCTTCCAGGGTCACTATCTGTTTCATCCAGTAAAATAAAAATGACTATTAGGCCATCAAAACTGAAGGTCAAAGGTACTTATTGAGTTACCCAAGCAACCCTTCTAAGATCAAAATGTTTAACGAAAAACTAGTTCTAACTTAGTTTGGTTCAGACATGAGTGTGTATATACCCCCACAGTTCCACCATACTCATTTAGAACAACAACCATGTTAACCTTCCTAATGCAGAACTCTCCGAGAAGATTCCAAACTGACATTGAATCTGCAAAACCAATAACAAAACCCTATTTAATTCAGGCAGATAATATAAACAACAGATTCACAGAAAAATACATATACACTACCATTTCATTAATAAAATACAGCATCAACTTGAAATTGGCTATAAGGATACCCGGGACGAAGTATGCAGGTTTGTGGCCATGTCTCCACTGTAGTACTTTCTAGAGATCCCCCTTCAAATAGAAGATCTATATCGCTATCACACACGGTATTAACCTCAGAAGGAGGAGAGAATAGAAATCCCTGACCTTCTGAACATTATCCAGCAGATACATTGCATAAGCAATGCCCACTATATTGTCACACATTGCTCAAACACAGGCACCCTAAACACACATTTTCAAACTTATTAGCTTTTTGAATATCACTCGCTGAACAAAAGTACCAAGAATTAATTTTCCTTGAATATTGATGAGTTACCCACGAACTGTGGAAATCAACAAGAATGGTACTAGTTTGTACATCGTAGCCTGTTTTATAAATTCCCCTTTTGTTAGTTATCAAAAAATGTGAAATAATCAAAATGGGCCATATCATTGCAACCATCACATTTAACTAGTCAGCAATCTATTTGCCAAGAAATTGCAATGTGGCAATAGGATGAAGATAAATTCATTGTGAAACTCCGGTTATGTGTAAATGGCTTTACAGATTTCTTTGACTACTAGCATTCAGAAACTAAAGACATACTATATAAGATACAGATAACGGATATGTCTTCATTAAGAATATTTGCCTCATATACAGGACATTGTGGCTAGCCTGTCAATACTTAAGTGCAACATTCAAACAAAATCCTATCCGTTAAAATAACATAATACAGTCAAATGAAATTCCTTTTGCAATATTAGATGACTGAATAAACATCAAGGATTAGCACACTATTTTCACTACATATATAGCAACCACTTGAACCTCTGCTTTGTTATTAGTGACCTACTGCCCCAGTCTAACCCTAACTTCCTCTCTACATAGCCTTAAACATGATATGAATAGCTTCATACAAATATAACTTCTAAAATAGCAAATTTATTATCATAACCTTGTGCCGTGTTCTTTTGCTAGCCAAGAAATACTTTCTTGAATACAACTGAAACCATTTGGTGGAAATAGCCAACAAATGAAGTATATGTGTAAGATACAAATAGCAATGATTACTTTTCACCAAAAAAATAAAAAATCATGATCAAACATACCTTCTTCCTTTCAAACCAAGAGCTTTTAGCATTCCCATTGATAGATATGTACAACTCTTCCCACAGGTAAGTATCATGGAAAACCATGCCTGGCCTGCCTAGAAACATTGCAAAGTCAAATAGAGATGGCAATCATCTACTTACACCAAAAGTACCATACGATGTTTCAGTTAACATCTTTTATGCTGAAACAGGTAATGTGGTTTAGATTCAAAGAGCTTGTGCTTATTTATTAGTCCATATATTCTCATTCGGCTATCCCTCAACTTAGCAAACTAAAACCCAAAAAAAGAAAAAGCATTCACAACACCACAACTGAACACAGTCTAATATCATACCCAACATAATAATCGGACTTTATAAGTGCACAATGTGCAATAAAAGGTTACAGACTCCATAAACCACTAACATCAAAATGACACCAAACTAAGCTAATACACTTCCAAGACCAGAATAATAACGATATGCTTAAATGCATAGTTTGTGACAATACAATTACATAAACACCAAACAAAAACAGACTAGCTCAAGAATTTTATACCTTCCAAGGCCAAAGCGTTCTGATAGACATCTCAACCATTGACGAGAACGCAGACAAACACAAAAGGGCAGCCAAAACCAAACCTTGCTCTTTGAATACTCTCAAAACCTGAGAAACTTTAATCCAAGCATTCTTCAACAACAATATGCTTTGCCCAATATCTCCATACCCTGCATTTACTGCACTCTCCACGGCAAAAACTCTCTTGCAACCAAACACCAAAACCCCACAAACAAGCGCCCCCAAAACGTGACACTTTGGATAGCGATGAATTCTGGGTGAAATCTTGACAGAAGATTTCGAACATCGATTTTGGTGGAGGAAAAACGAGATTTTATTGTTGAAACGAACGTGGGTCGATTGAAACCGAAGATTCAAGAGCAAAATCCATGAAATGTGAACAAAAATGAATAAAAAATTGAAACTTTGGCAAATTCCAGCAAAAATAATTAGAGGGGAAAAAAAAAAAAAAAAACCCAGAATTAAAAGGAAATTCGGTCAAAATTTGAGAAATGAAGAAGATTGAGACATGTACAAGAATTTATGGGTTTTGGGATTGAGTTTATTAGACTGTGAAAGTGAAAAATGGAGAAGGCTGAAACGACGGCCATCTTTGGATTGGAAAAATATTTTGTGGATTGGAGGCTCCTTGATTAATTTAATGATTTGTGCATTTTTTAACAATAGGACTAAACAGATTTAGAGATAAATATGTAAATAACAAAGTTGCTTCAATACAACTCATTGACTAAAAACTCCCATGAATACCATGATTAATACAAAACAATAATGAGTAAACAGACTTGGAGATAAATATGTAAAACACAAAGTTCCTTTAATATAATCCGTTGATGAATACAAGGATTAAAATTCAAGAGCCTTATAGTCAAATGTTAAGGCTGTCATAAGTTCTCGTCATGCAAAAGCTTAGAAATAAAATACTTACAGAAAGTGCATTTTGTTGATTAGAAAAAATATAAGCTTACCATCAACTTGAAGTACTTCACAACACAAATAATAATAAACAAATTATTCTTTCCAGCAAGACTTGAAGCATTTTTCATTTATGCTTTTTTTGGAAAATGTGCCTTTACCATGAAAACTTGCAAATAACAGTGCTGAAAGATAATATATAGACCATGTTGATTCAATCATTATACTTTTTGCTGTTGTCAAGTACTTAACTCTAAAAAGAAAGACAAGATTGAAAAATTAATGGTGGAGTTTATATTCAGATTCTCATAAAAGAATACAAATATATGTTGTAAAAATCGAACCACTCACCTTGTTAAGAGCAACGCTTGAAGTCATTAATTTCTTCTTCTTGGATGGGTTCTCTTCACTCTTGCTATGATTCTGAGCCTCACTCTTTCAACAATTAATACAAACCATAAAGGTTTTCCTATTGTGAATACAATTTATCCCATAGACAAGCCTATTACCAATCCAGATCCGTAACCCATCAAAATGATTTTCCAATCAAACCAGCTCAAATTATTGTCTCCTTCATGGTAGGACGGTATTGGTGATGATGGTACATCATTGCCACATTTCTTTGACAATGGGGATCCACACAACCCCAAGTTTCCTTTGTAGGAGTCATTTTGAAATGTATTGAGTTGATTTCCTTGAGGTATAGATCCCATAAGCTGGTTGTATGAAAGATTAGACACAGAAAGAAATGTCAGACTTGCCAACTGATTAGGTATCTCTCCAATAAGCTTGTTGAAAGAGAGGTCTAATGATTCAAGACTTGTCAAATTTCCCAATAATGGTGGAATATGACCTCTAATGTTATTATGAGAAAAGTTGAGGATTTGGAGGAAATTAAGCTTTCCAATTATTGTTGGTATTTGCCCTTGAAATTGGTTGCTTGACAAATCCATCATTACAAAAATGGTTAGAATCTTGTCTATTTTTCTATCAACGCCTTTTACTGTCAAACTAATGGAATAGTATTGAACATACCACGGCCTATTCCAAAAGCAGTAAAAATATGGATCGGATATTCTCTCATATATTTCAATTCACCTTCATGATTCTTACCATACATCATACTAAATTTCTCAAAATATCTTGTTCGCAAAATACCTATGAATCGATTGTGAGAGAGGTCAAGTATTCAAAACTTAGGATTTGCTAATCTTGTCTTGGGTTCGCCAATGAAACCATAAAATCTATTAGATCTCAATACCAGAACTTGCAATTCCGGAAGGTTTGCTAACCAATAAGGAAAAGTATCATTGATCATGTTGTTTCCAATATTTAGAACTTCCAAGTGACTACAATTAACCAAAGTATGTGGTAATGACCCTTCCAACTTATTGCCATTAAGGTCAAGGTATCGAATATAGTTATTAGCTAATGATTTTGGGATGGTACCACAGAAATTGTTCATTTGTAGATCCAAGACTGCAAGCCTAGGAGAGTTTATTCCTAGACATTGAGGAATGGTTCCATTCAAGCCATTGTAAGACAGATCAAGATATATAATAAGGCTCAAGTTGCAAATGAACGGAGGAATCTCTCCATTCAACATATTGTTGGAAACTATTAAGGTGTCCATAATAGGTGCATCTAGCAACACAAGTGGGCCTTGGAGCAAGTTGGATTGAAGGTCAAGAATAGCTAAATTCATCATGGATACTTTTCCAAAAGGGACAAAACTTGTCAAAAGATTGTGAGAGAGATTCAAAGAGTAAAATTTTTGAAACAATTCCAATTGTTGTTGAGAAATCTGGCTGTGAATTCTATTGTCTGAAAGGTCTAAAATTCTAAGGTATTCTGAGCTTCTTAAGAAGAAAGGGAATTCGGTTATGTTGCAAGAAGAGAATATGAACTCGTCAAGGTTAGGCAAGGTAATGTTGGCCTTTTTTGGGGTAGCTAAAGATAGTAAGGTGTTATGGGAAAGGTCAATCCTCATTATATTTTTGAGCTTGGACAAATTTTCTGGTTTCACAATGCCACTCAAATTGTTGAAAGAAAGGTCAAGTTTTGTAAGGTTTAAAATTTCAAACATGGAATTTGGAATTGAACCTCGAATTTGGTTATTCATTAAAGAAACAATTCTCACAGAACTAGGCTGATGGAACCCCTCAATCGGACCTGTGAGTTTTTATTTGTAAGGTCCACTGTCTCCAAAGATGGCAGAGTAAATAACCAAGAGGGAACTCTTCCGTCTAGAAAATTATTAGATAGGCCAAGAGAAAGTAGATTTGAAAGACCACTTACTTGATATGGAATATGACCTTCAAATTGGTTTTTGGAAAAGCGTAAAACCGAAAGTTGTGGGAGGTTGAATGCTGAAGATGGCAACTGACCATTGAAATTGTTGAATGAAAGATCTAGGTAGGTTAATTTGCTAAGGTTGCCAAAAACATCTGGAATCTGTCTTGAAAAACTGTTGCCACTAAGATCTAAACTTCTGAGCTGACTAAGTTTAGATAATGACATTGCAACTTCGCCCGTAAAATTATTGCCTGACAAATCCAAAGAAGTGATATACGTGCAATTCCAAAGTGATGTTGGAATTGAACCTGTGAATTCATTCCCATGAAGATCCAACACATTCAAGTATATAAGATCGCTGTTTGTGTCAGGTAATTGTCCTGAGAAACTTGTATCAGAGAGATCTAAGAATCTAAGGGAACTGCTCCAGTTAGACTTTGATAAATCACCTCTAAGATCTTCATTTCTGGTCAAACTCAACTTCTGGAGGAACGGAAGGCGGAAAACATCATTTGGAAACCTGCCTTGCAGACTAGTATAACCAACTAAAAGAGATATCAGAGTAGAAGACAAGTTCAGCAAAGAGCCAGGTGCAACTAAAGACAAATCCACCTCATCGAGATGAAGATATCTTAATTTTGTAAGATTCTGTAAGTGCTTACCAAAAACATGTTGGTGCAGTAAGGGTAATCTAAGGGAAAAACCACCAGAGAGGTCAAGCAAAACAAGTTTAGATAGGTGAAAGATTTCAGTTGGAACTACGCCATGGAATCTAGGGAAAGAAAGGTTAAGATGTGTTAATTTCGTGAATTGACCAAACTTGGATGAGATTGTGGATTCACTGAAATCATTGCAAGCAAGCTTGAGATTCTGGAGATTGTGAAGGAGGAAGAGACTACTATTGTCATTGACAGTGCCATGGATCCAACTAGAAGAAAGGTCAAGGCCAATGACATGACCTGTGTAGCTATCACAAGTGACCCCATCCCATGAGCAGCAATCACTTCCCTCTTTCCAAGAATCTATCTTAGGATAATGATATTCTCCACAAGGATAGTAAGAAGGACTATGAATTTTTAAGGTGCTTTTGAAATGGAGTAAGGCAGAGCTTTGTTCATGGGAGCAAAGTTTGATTGAACGAGAAGAAAAGTTATAAGAAGATGAGGAAATGGCTTGAAAATTCAAGTCCAACAGGAAGAGGCAGAGGAGTAGATAGTGCCACGATAGCCTCCACATGTTTTTCCCAGGAAACAGAAAAAATTGCATAAAATTGTTGAGAGAGATGAGAAGTGAAGATGAAATGTCTATGCATATATAGATAAATAAAAAGAGAAAAATGTAACCAAGTCTTGGTCATGCACTGATGTCTACTCCATGGACTTAGAATTTTATTACGATGACTTTGAATTAGATGATTCCTACATCATGATTGGTATAAATTGGGAACAAAATTCAAAGTGGGATTCACTATTGTAAAGAGACAGCTGTCATATCACCAAGTCTTGTTCGTGCACTGAGGTCTGCTCCATCAAGTCTTTGGTCAAGCACTAATGAGGCACTACTGGATTTAGTCTAGATCATCCAGCGGCTCTTTTTCCACTTTCTAATAATAAAATAACACAAATGTCTACAGGGCCAATATTCTTGCACAAAGAAACAGGGCAGGGCTTATGCAATGGTCAACCGTTTCGCCTCATTATTATTTTCTCCACTGTAACTAACACCGTAATGTCACGCACTTAACTTCTTTGCTAAGTTCGTGCGGCCTTAACTCGTCGGAAATGAGCTAAGCAGCCTAACGCTCACATGCTAACAGTATATTAATGAGAGAGAAGTATAGAGAAAATATAAACTCTGTGTATTGCTGGAATTCAAGTATTATCTGATTTTTACCAGGTGGCTTTGCCTATTATAGGCCTCAAGCACCTCCATTACTATGCTAAGCTACATGCTCAGCATAGAAAACCCTGGGTGTGGGCATTGGTGCTGGCCGTGGAACCGAAAGCTCGTGGGTGTCGAGTATTGGAGCAACCTTGGAACAAAGGTGCTTAGTCGTCGACCTAGCTGCTGAGTCGTTAACTAGCTCCTAAGTTAACTTACTCTAAGTCTGCTTCACACCCTGAAGTTACTTAATCGGTTAAGCAAGTGGCAGCGCTTGGGCAAGCGGCTGGTCGTGACATTCTCCGCACCTAATGCTGCGACGCCCTCGTCGCATTGTCTTTATAGCGCAGGACTGAATCTTGGAATTGCCACAATGATTTCTTCCTCCCACATGCTTCGGTATCAGGAAGTCCCTTCCATTTATGAAGTTTCCGATAGTTTGGCACACCACGTGCGCGGACGACTCGGTCGGCAAGTATTTCTTCGATTTCCTTATCAATGATGTTACAACTGCCGTTGGTGTCGTTTTGAACTCCTCGGGATGGCTCCTCCGGTCTCATGAATGGCTTCAGTAAGCTTACATGAAAGACCGGTGTATCTTCAGTTTCGGAGGGAGTTGGAGGTCGCTACGAAACCTTTGCCAATGCGTTGAATCACTTGAAAGGGCCCTTCGTATTTGCGCACGAGCCTTGTGCACTTTCTCAATGTCTTGAACTGTTGGGTCAGACTTACAAGAACAAGATCACCCTCTTGAACTCAACATGCCTTCTCTTCTTGTCAGCCCACTTCTTCATTCTCTTTGCTGCCTTGTGTAGGCGTCACGAGCAAGTTCGGTTTGTTCGTGCCAGACTTGCTACCTAAGGCTGCCGGCTCTTTCCATCATAGGTGTGGCTAGGAAAGAGGTGTGTTTGGTTGTCGTCCCATGATGATCTCGAAGGGACTTTTGTTGGTTGCCTCGCTCCGTTGTAAGTTAAATGAGAATTGGGTGCTGTGTCAGAAGCTTTGCCCAATCCTCTGACTAGCGCTCACGTAGTGCCCAATACAGCTCTAACATTGCTTGCCGCTCAGTCTGCCATCAGTTTGGGGATAAGCTGTCGAGAAGTCATCGGGTTGATCCTAGCATCTTGAATAACTCTGTCCAAATCTCCCGGGTGAACCAAGGATCCGATCACTGACTTATCTGTCGGAATGCCCATAACTTGATGATGATTTGCGGAAGAAAAGCTTGGTTTTCTTCTCTGCTGTGCATCGGTGGATGCAGGATGAAGTGGCATCCTTGCTAAATCTGTCCACAACAACTATGATGCTCGACGCCCCGACTTTGGCAACACGTGTAAGTCCATTGAGACACTTTCCCATGGTCTCTCGGCACGGGCATGTTTGTAGCACGCCTGGCCGTTGTTTGTTGTACTATCTTGTCTTGCTGGCAACAAGGCACGTTCGCACATACCCCTCATGCTATCCTGCTCCCAGGCCATATAGGCAGATTTTAAGAGAGCAGGTGCGTCTCATACCTGATGGCCTGCCCACAGGATCATGACCTCCTTGATCAGTCTTTTCCTCAATTGTCCCCTCTTGGTTGTAGAGAGGCGGTTGCCTTTGGTGTAAGTAGGATCCGTCAGTCAGCCAAAACCTCCGGTTTTCCCTTCTTCCACCAAGGCACTGATTACGAGCCAATGGCTCATGCTGTAGAGTCCCTGCTTTTTGATCCATCCAATGCGCTTGTGACTTGACTGTGCTCGCCAACTCGCCTTGCGACTTATTGCATTTGCCACTACATTGGTCTTGCCGACTTGTACTCCAGGACAATCAACTCACAACAAGAACGTCCTGCATTCGTGCCTGCTTCGTACTCCAACTTCTATTTGGTCGGACGTGCTTGTCGCGACGTTGTGGCGGTCAAAGTATCCAAACTTGGACCCAAGCGAGTTGTCGCCATACTCTAAGACAATGGATGATGGCTGTCATCCCTTTTTCTTGCACAGTGTAACGCCGTCTCCTCATTGAGCTTTCCGACTCTCGTAAGCAATCGGATGCCCCATTCTGCATGAGTACTCCCTCCCCGTGGCAAGTCGGATTCCGTCCTGGCACTTCATGGCTGAGTATGGTCTGCAAGGCAAGCACAGGTTCTTGCTGATTGCAGCTTTCAACTCCTCAAAGCGGACTTGACACTCATTCAGTCCAGTCCCACGGCTGTTTTCTTCTTGAGATAAGTCTGTCAACGGGCTTCCTTTGCTGAGTAGCCTTGATAACCGACGGTAGTAGTTTTAACTAATCCAAGGAGGATCGAAACTTCGCACTTTGGTGGGTGTTTCCCACTCTTGAATGGCCTGCACTTTGCTATCCTCCATAATAAGCTGCCATCCCTGATCTTGTGACCCAAGACCTTACCTCCGGCTTGGCGAAAGAGCATTCTCTTTCTTTGAATATACAGCTTGTTGTCCTCAAGACTTGGAACACTTCCCTGAGGTGCCGCATGATGCTCCTCCCGGTTTGCTATACACCACTATGTCGTCAAGGTCGAACCACAACCGTCGAGTATGGATGGATATCCTTATTCATCAAGGTGCAATGTGGCTGGTGCATTTGTTAGCCCAATGGCATACCAAAATTCGTAAGACCCCTACACTTTAACACAGGTGGTCTTTGGCTCGTCGCCTTCGGCTTGGCGCACTTGATATATAACCTGATCGCAGATCCAGTTTTGGTTAAGTCGGGCATGCCCCAGAGCTGATCAAAAGGTCGGCAATCAAGGAAATAGTATAGCTTTTTAACAATACCTTGTCTGTGCTCGTATGTCGATGCACCATGCGCAAGAACAATCCTTCTTCCTTTGAAACAGAACTGGTGCGCCATAGGGAGCTTTGGGTGGCTTGATGAACCCTGCATCTAGTAGTTCCGTAACTGCCTCCTTAGTGCCGCAAGCTCCGGTGGTGCCATACGGAAGGACCCTTGGCAGGTGGCTTGGCGCCTGGTTCCAGCCAATCTGTGGTCTACCTCCCTTCTAGGTGGAGCTCCTTTGGCACTCTTTTTGGTGAGACATCAACTGCCTCGCGATACTTGTTGCTACCCCCCACTCCCTGGCCCTGCCTCTGGCGGGATTGGCTCCTCGTCGTCGATTCTTAGGATGGCCAAGTACGCTTTCCTTTCCATTGGCTTTTTCTTGAACTGCATAGCCGGAGTGTTGCTGTCCCTCTGGCTTGGTAGCGGCTAGTGCAACACCACTTGCTCTCCCGTCCTGATACACATGGTGTGGTTGACGGCACAGGGAAATGCCCTTCTTTCCATGAACTCTACCAAAGAACAACCTGTAGTCTCCATCGGTGCCACTGGAAATCAAGTAGCCGACCAAGTTCCCATCGTGGTTCTGATATGCCGAGCCACTCCCGTATCGGTTGTGCCCTGCATGTTGACTGCCTTGATGGTCCGTCTCCACCTCCTGAAGCCTGCTGTCTAGCCGACGTGCTTCACTTACTGAATGAAGTTATGTGAACACCCTGTTCTCCACTGGCTTATGTGTCCTTCCCTTGATGGCCCAATCAACATAGAGCACCCTTGGTGTTGGGTTTTGGTGGCGGACTGGATTCCATTGATTTGTTGTTGCATCGATCCCATATGTGCGCATCACTACTACTTTCGGCTGGCTTTGCCCTCCTGATCTTGAGCAATTGAGGGAGTAAGATGTCTTCTCCGGCAGTTTCTACCAATGGCCCTGCAATAAAGCAATTGTGCGGGTTTGGAGCCCTTGTCCCAACGTTTGCCCTTGTCTTTGCCTTGATGATGAGTACCTTGGCGGTGTGCTCGGTTGCTTTCTTTCAGATTGCCCCCTGTCTCCCCGCACCTTTTACAAAGCCGCCCCTCTTTATCTTTGGATTTGCTGCTGGAATTCTTTTGGTGCTGATCATCAAACTTTCCCAACTGATTGCTGTGGCAAGACTTGTCACTCCCCAACGCCTTAGCTCTTGTTTTCACCCATGTTTGCACACCCTCCATGAAATTGAAGACGAGTCCTGTCGGACATCTCCGGATCTCCAGTATCAAGTCAGTGAAATCCCTGATATAATCATGGATCGTCCCGTTTGCTGGATCCGTCGCAAGCGAGCTCTTGCTTCATCCTCGCATTCTCCGGGTAAAACTGCGTTTAGCTCTCTTTTAAAATCATCAAAAGTAGAGTAGTGCAAATACCTTGTTTCGATGGTCTCCTTCTCGTCTCCTCCACCCACAACCTTGCGGTGTCTGTGAGATAGACTGCAGTTTTCAATCCTCGAGCTTTCCTCCGTACGCCTATGGCCCGAAGTACTTGTCTAGTCCCCACGGAAGTTGGTCAACCTCTTGTGCCCTTGCGTGAGCCACCAAAACTTCTATGCCTAGGGACGTCATCCTTTGGCTTTCAATACGCTGCTGCCAGTTCCTAGTACCATTCCGCGCTTGCATCGCGCTAACTCAGCCTGACCCTCGTCTAAACTACGAGCGTGCTGTTGATTTCGGCTTGGAAACCCATGACGGTTTTGCAAGCTCCCCCACAACTCCTCACGGATTGCTCCCCCTTTCATCCTTAGCGACTCTTCCATTTGAAGCAGCATGCTTTCACGACATGTGTAGTTTCGAACCTCCGACTCTAGATCATCCACTCGATGATCTGATCCTTCGCTGCGTGCTCACCCTTCTTCTCTACACGAGTAAGCTTGAGTCAAACTGGAAAGACATCTTTGGACGTACCTCTCTGCCTTTGAGGGTTTGGGTTGGGTCGACTTCTCCGACGCCCACGTTCCTGGAAGCCTCCATCTCTGTCGTCTTGGTTCCTTGGAAGCGACAGTATCTTTTGCCATTGAATGAAAACCGAGGTTATGCTACCGAGGCTCTGATACCACTTGTCACGCACTTAACTCTCTTGCTAATTCGTGCTGCCCTTAACTCGTCGGAATGAGCTAAGCCCTAACGCTCACAAGCAGTATTGAACTAGAGAGAAGTAGTAAGAATATAAACTCTGTGTATTGCTGGATTCATTCATTGATTTACATGGTGGCAGTTGCCTATTATAGGCTCAAGCACCTCAATTAACTACTGATAGCTCACAGTTCCAGCATCAGAAAACCCTAGGTGTCGGGCATGGTGCAGCCTTGGAAACGAACCTCGTGGGTGTCGAGTATGGAGCAACCTTGGAAAAAAAGGTGCTAGTCCGTCGACCTAGCTGCTTCTCGTTACTAGCTCCTAGTTAACTTAGCTCTTAGTCTGCTTCACCCTGAGTATACTTATCGTAAGCAACGTGCAGCATGCTTGGCAAGCAGGCTGGTCGTGACGAAAGCTGAGATTTAAATCTGAGTATTTTTAACTCATAATAATCACAAAAACGTAAACACTTCCACTCACATACATAGACCAATTTCTCTACAAATTATCTGAATCCCGGTTTGCAACTCCAATTTTGTGATAGGTCCGTCTCTAAGAAAAAATAGTTTGGTAATAGAAACGGCTTTTAGCCTACATCTATGGGTAAAGATAAAAGAAGAATTTGACTAAATGGATGCAAATTGGTGGTAACTCACAAACCCAAATCCCAATACACCCAATGTTTAAATACTCTCTCTATCTCTAAAATTAGTATTCTTGAATTTGAGAGAGAGGTGAGTCACTTGTGTTTCTCTTGCCAGTGGCTCTCATATTCATAGTGTTTTGGAGGCCATCGCATGTCATAAAATGAGGGACGAAATTAAATCTGGGATTAAGACCTTGCAGGCAACAGTTTTGCTTGAGAATGTTGATATTGTTTGAGAAACATGAAGAACAGATTGTGCTTCCAATTCGGTGGCATTAAATGTCATCAAAGAAGTTCAATTTTAAATACAATAAATATATCCCATAGAGAAGACAAACCAAGAAATTTTAAGACTTACTCTTACATGGATTGGATTCAAGAGCAAACAGTAATGTTAACGTCGGCAAAACTTCTCCCCAAAAAAAATGTAAAGAAATTTTCATCAGCAAAGAATTTCTATCAAGAAATGGATGCCACTGCTATTGCAAATGAGTGATTTATGAGTATTCAAGATTCAATCCTGATCATGGGAATCGGGTTAAAATCGAATAAAATTGTTGTTTTATTCTGCGTTTATTCGATTGAAAACCCAACAAAACCTGTACCAATATAACATTACCAGGCAACATATTGATTGCAAATTCTATCAGTTATTGCGAGATAAGATTTAGGATATACAAATTCTGCCACAATTTTGATTCCATTTAGGTAATTTGGCCAGAAATTATGTTGCGGGAAATGTCCAAAATTTGGAAAATTTTTGCGGTCTTTAAGAAACTCGGGAATTGAGTTAAGTTAGAAGAAAGGAAACCGAAAAACAAGGTAAACTTGAGATTGTTGTGGGTCAACTTTGGTCGGCTATTATAGGAAAATTGAAGTGCTTCAAGATGTTTAAGTTTCAGTGCCACTGAAGTTGTTTATTGACAGGTCAAGAACAGTAAGATTCAGAAGTTCAAAAATGGCATCAGGAAATGGACCTTGAATTTGATTATTCTCCAGAGATAGATAACGCAATGGAGCTGAGAACTTGAACTGGTAAAGAGAACCATTGAGTTTTTTGTTGGTAAGTTCTAATGATTGCAGAAACGGTAGCGTAAAGCCGTAAACAACCAATCTGGTATTTTACCAGTTAGAAAATTATCAGATAAGCTGAATTAAGTTAGATCTGAAAGGCCAC